GCGCTAAAGAGCTCAAATTGGGCGAATGATTTTAGTGTCATTGCGTTCAGGCCATAACCTAATATTACTGATGTGAGTCTCAGCTCTGTAGGTCTGAGCCTGTGGCCCTCAGGGCTCAGCGAAAATGGCCAAAACGAAGGCCTTATTCGCCATGGCGAGGGACGAAAACGGTGAAGATTTTCTAACTTTTTTTCGATGATTATATAACTTCAATCCGTCCAGAGCGGGAAAACGTGGTAGAACTCTGTGTGATGAAAAACCAGGGACTAGTTCGAATTTATAAATGAAAAGTCAAATTAGTGGCGAAACTTCGGCCCCTCATGGCCGACTTCCTGTCGGTCCCAGACATGTGCTTAGAACGGCTTTTATGCTCGTCTCATAGAGATCTATCACTCATCCGAATTTCGTGTACCTACTCCAATATTTGAAAAAAAATCCCCAGAGGGTCAAAAAAAATGAAATTTCTAGGGGGCGTTATAGAGTCGGCGAGCGTCGGACAATCTGGAAACGTTCATTTTATCAAATTTTTCGCCGGACCGGTCGTTTTAGACCCCCCATGTGCAGACTTTCGTGCATGTCTTCAGGGTCAAAAATCGAATTGAAGATGCGGAAAAAAAAGAATAATATGAAACCGGTGAATAACAATGGATCGAATTGAAGATGCGGAAAAAAAAGAATAATATGAAACCGGTGAATAACAATAGGCCTCCCCAATACTTCGTATTGGCTCGGCCTAATAATATGAAACCGGTGAATAACAATAGGCCTCCCCAATACTTCGTATTGGCTCGGCCTAATAATAAAAAAAGCCGCAAGCGGCGATGAAAGGCCTCGCCCCTCTTGCGACCGCCTCCCGGGCGCCAGTCCCACAAGCGTCACGCCGACGAATTGGCAGCCCGATCTGACCAGGATTACGAATAAAAAAGCTCATTAATATGATAAAGTGCGCCCCTAGTGGTCACCTTCGGGACATGCACCCTCTACGTAGAGTAATATTTTGCTCGTACAGATGTAAAGATTTGATTTTGCAACTTTGGTGAAGATCGGAAAAGTTTAGGTCAGAAGCCTTACATAGGTGGCGCTGTAGAGTCATATTAGGTGTGTGTTTTCACACCATTAAACTCAGGCCATTACCAACTGTTAGCGATGTGAGTTTCAGCTCTGTAGGTCTGAGCCTGTGGTCAGGAGAGCATCAAACATGGAGAAATTCCCCGCTACCTCGCATGAAAACGATAACAAAATTCTAAGTTTTATGTGATGATTGCATAACTTCAATCCGTCCAGATGGATAAATGACATGGTAGAAGTCTGTGCGATGAAAATCCAGGGACTAGTACGAAGCCAAAAATGCAACACCTTGAACTGCCTGTAGGTGGCGCTGTTGCACTCACAGTTGTGTGTTGCATATCGTTGTGTTCAGGGTCATACGCTGTATTTCTGAATTAATTTTTAGCCTCATTGGACAAACATTTTGCCCTAAAAAACTCATTCATTCACTTTCCGGCGCCCCCATGTGGTCAGGTGTGGGACGTACAACTTTTGCGTTATGTAATGTTTTGCTCGTCTCGGTCCAGAGAATACACTCAGCGATTTTCGGGCCGATCCGAGCACTAGTGCCCTATTACTTTCCGACAGGTGGCGCTAAAGAGCTCATAATGGGCGAATGATTTTAGTGTCATTGCGTTCAGGCCATTACCTAATATTACTGATGTGAGTCTCAGCTCTGTAGGTCTGAGCCTGTGGCCCTCAGGGCTCAGCGAAAATGGCCAAAACGAAGGCCTTATTCGCCATGGCGAGGGACGAAAACGGTGAAGATTTTCTAACTTTTTGTTGATGATTATATAACTTCAATCCGTCCAGAGCGGGAAATGACGTGGTAGAGCTGTGTGTGATGAAAAACCAGGGACTAGTTCGAATTTATAAATGAAAAGTCAAATTAGTGGCGAAACTTTGGCCCATCATGGCCGACTTCCTGTTGGTCCCAGACATGTGCTTAGACCGGCTTTTATGCTCGTCTCATAGAGATCTATCACTCAGCCGAATTTCGTGTACCTACTCCAAAATATGCAATCCTGCCTCCAATAGAAATGGAAAATTTTGAATTTTCTAGGGGGCGCTATTGATTCGCCTTTTGTCGGACAATCTCGAAACGTCCGTTTTATCAAATTTTTTGCCGGACCGGTCGTTTTAGACCCCCCATGTGCAGACTTTCGTGCATGTCTTCAGGGTCAAAAATCGAATTGAAGATGCGGAAAAAAAAGAATAATAATAATATGAAACCGGTGAATAACAATAGGCCTCCCCAATACTTCGTATTGGCTCGGCCTAATAATATGAAACCGGTGAATAACAATAGGCCTCCCCAATACTTCGTATTGGCTCGGCCTAAATATGAAACCGGTGAATAACAATAGGCCTCCCCAATACTTCGTATTGGCTCGGCCTAATAATATGAAACCGGTGAATAACAATAGGCCTCCCCAATACTTCGTATTGGCTCGGCCTAATAAGGGTGATAAAATATACAACAACAAAGCAAAACAGTAAAATAATAAAAATATAATAACAAAACAATAACGACAAATTAAAGCTGCATTAACTGACTTTATTTTTGTATTCATTACAAAAAGGCCATCCATGTCCATGTAGTGCATTGGGATATACGTCCTTTTGAAGAAAAAGTAGCGCAGGTTTGTGCTGGCGTGACATTATATTTTAGATCGAGTTTTGATGAAACAAGGAAGAGAATGTGTTTCGGGACCAGATTGTGACCAATCACAGCGGACCACTGGCCCCCACTTTCGTGAGAAAAGCCACGTGTCTGGTTAGCATAGACGGCTGAGTTAGCACAACAAGCGGCGGAGCTAACCTGAAGCTTTGTGTGTCTTTGTCAGCGCATACTGCTTACTCAGCAAGACAGCCATCCAAAAGAAAGTCTCGTTCCTCCGCGCTTCCCGGTTCTATCGTTCTATGGTCACGCCATCCACGCTCAAATGTACGATACATGATTCTATCCATGTTGGGAGACGCTGGCTCCGTCCCAACAGTGGGTGTGCGGTAGCGGGGGGCGATAGCTTCATGGGTGCGGGGCAGGGAGGAGAAAGAGCGAGGCCAGTGAGGCCCTGTTTATACTGAGACGCTGCGCAGACGTTTCCAGGCTATTAACAGAAACGACCTGGCTCCTAATGCAAATTTCTCTGCGTTCACATGAGGTTGAAAAACGATGTAGTTCTAGCGCCCGGCCAGTAGGGGGCAGAGAAACTTTACAACACTCACACGACCCCCAGCCCCGTGCCCAGCCCCCCTCTCGGCAGTATACTCACTTCCTGTGCCAGACCCTCAGAACGCACCAACATCATTCTGCTTTTTAACAGCATCTGGGAAAATGGGAACTGAACCTAGAGCTTCGCGTGGTCTCGTTTGGACGAACGAAGGAGTAGAATGATCCTCTGTCCCGCGCTGGAAGTCCACGTAGCTAGTTTGTGTGGGCGGCGCCATTATTGTTGATGTTTGTTCTCCGCTACTGCGCATGTCCAAATTTACGTGCGGGGAGCAGCGCGGAGGTGGGGGTCAGAGCAGAGGGGGATTTCACACCTTTTTCCCTCTCGCGGGTGTGAAAAAGCTCCCTGCTGTGCAGCGTTTCTGAGTTGTCCCACTCTGCAGGCTGGATCTGAACACTTACGTTTTCACCCCCCTGGAACACAGTCTTCATATGAACGGTTGGTAGGAACCGACATCCAACTATACCGTTTTACTGCCACATTGTCTCCGTGTAAACTCAGCCTGAGTCTGCTGCTTCAAAATCCCAAAGTCAGTCAGTGCAGCTTTAAAGAAGAAGAAGGTCCTTTATTTCAGTTTGATGCATACGCATACACACATACATATACATACACATACATATACATACACATACACATACACATACATATACACATACACATACATATACATATACACATACATATACACATATACACATACACATACATATACATATACATACATATACACATACACACACACACACATATACATACACATACACACATATATATGTATATGTGTATATATATATATATATATATATATATATATATATATATATATATATATATATATATATATATATATATATATACACACATATACATACAGTACACATACACTTCAAGGCAAGCAGCGAACATCACATCTGCGCTCCTTATTGGTAAAGTGGGTTAAGTGTCTTGCCCAAGGACACTACGACAGCAGACACAGTGGGAGTCGGTGGAGTAGGTCTTGTGGTGGGCTCAAACCCACAACCTTCGGGTTCAAAGGCCAATGTTCTACCAACTGAGCCACTGTCAAAAGGAAAATGTGAAAAAAACCAACAGATCACTATTTCTATAGTTGTATATTATTCATGTCATATGTTTCTAGTATGACGTCAAAAGTATTCAATTAAGTAATACAATTTGGAAGATGTGTTCTGTTATAATTAATTATTTATTATATTCAGTCTCCTCTTTCAAACTCTGGATTGTTTTTATGGCAAATACATTACATTTCACAGACAGAAGACAGAAATGGCTCTAGTCTCATGTTGACGACCAGTTTAAAGCCCAAAAAGAGAATCTGAAAGTGCAATATTTACCATGGGGGTGTCAGGAATTTCAGAGAGAGCCCTGGACCTGACTCCCCCTCCGTCCTGGTGCCTGTCTGATTTAATTAGCTTGCGCAGTATGTGTATGTGTGTGCTTGTGTGTGTATGTGTGTGTATGTGTGTGTTTGTGTGTCTGTGTGTGTCTGTGTCTCCATCTCCAGCTCATTCCAGGCTGAGACTTCACCATGAGCAGCTGTTTGCGAAGCCACTGGGACCCACTTGGATGGTGCTCTGACGTTCAGGCAGCGATGAGAGAGGCTGAGGCTGTGTAAGGATTATGTGGGCAGCGCTGTTTATTTGCGTAGCGCTGTGGTTTGGAAGTCGTCCGGTCGGAGGGAGAAAGTGCTGGGAGCAAAGCATGAGGACGAAGGGGAGGAACGAGAGCTGCGAGGGTGAGTGAGGCCCGAGCAGCCAATTTGACGGGTTTTGGCTTTGTGTGTGGAGTTACTGCATCTATACGCACATCTGTGTAACTTTGTCACTTTTTCTGTCTCTGTATGTCATTTTTTTCTGCCATTTTGAATGAAATGTATTTTACTTTGCTATCCACTCGGCACGGTGGCTGAGTGGATAGCACTCTCGCCTCTCAGCAAAAAGGTCCTGGGTTCGAATCCTGGCCGGACCAGGGCCTTTCTGAGTGGAGTTTGCATGTTCTCCCTGTGTCTGCGTAGGTTTCCTCCGGGTACTCCGGTTTCCCCTACCACTAAAAATATGTACAATAGGTCTGGCATGTGCCTCCTGTACTAGCCCCTCCCATCTCTGTGTGGAGTGAGAGACAAGTGCCAGAAAAAAAACTAACAAATAACAATAACTTTGTGACTCTGGTCTGTGAAGGGCGGTATATAAATAAAGCTTACTTACTTACTTACTTTTGAAATGACAATAGTTCTACCTCCCAGAGATGAGCCAGTACCAGTACCATTAGTTACCATAGCAACATCACTTGCTACCACCAACTTGAAAATTGTTACTTGCTACCATTTGGTACTTGCTTTTTTGCTGTATTTCAAGTTGTATTAAAGTAAGTAAGTAAGTAAGTAATGTTTATTTATATACCGCCCTTCACAGACCAGAGTCACAAAGCGGTTTACAATGGTTATTTTTTTGGGCACTTGTCCTCTCACTCCACACAGAGATGGGAGCGGGGTCGCCGAACAGGAGGCGCATGCCAGACCTATTGTACATATTTTTAGTGGTAGGGGAAACCGGAGCACCCGGAGGAAACCTACGCAGACACGGGGAGAACAAGCAAACTCCACTCAGAAAGGGAGCCTCTTGCTGAGAGGCGAGAGTGCTATCCACTCAGCCACCGTGCCCCCCATTAAACCATTTTAGCACAAAGCGAGTGATAAAAAGCCTTATTATGACTTACTCACGTGGCCAAAACTGACGTATTCAGCGTCCTCCGTGTTGGGGATTTACTGATTTCACAAATCAATGGAAGCACACAACTCTTTGGTGTCAGGCTCGGTGAACAAGCTTCAGACAAAGCATGTTTGTGTTGACAAGTCATTTGTTTTAGCTTGGGTAAGTGATAAACATAATGTATCAACATTTTTGAGTTTAGCTTTGTAGATCAATGTTTATGACTTTTAAATATTGTAACAATCTTTGCTGATTGTTGTTTTGTTCTTTTTAAATCAACCATTCCCAGAGAGCGCGAGAAACTCCATTGAGAACTTGGTTTCTGAGAATGACGTTCGCGCACTGCAACTGTGCCTTAGAGAAGCTTGTTTGTAGGAGCACTGTTGTTTGCAGTAGAGGGAGGGTTCAGTTCCCTGTGCCCAGGAGAAGAGCAAGTGGGCCATGCTAACCTGTGTCAAACAAGTTCCCTATAAAAAACTAAATTTGTCCTTGCCACGCTTGCTGCTGTTAGGACAATGAAACACGGCACAGTTGTGGCAGTGCTTCAAAGAACTGAAATGACGCTGGAAAGACTCTAATGTGACGTCAGAGAGAGCGTGACCAGCTACAGCAGCGTGCTTCACCACCAACATGGCCGACTTCTGGTGCGCTGACCTTTGTTTCCAGGATGTGACGTCATGTGAAAGTCAAGAATTGGATTGAATGAGAGCAGTCAAAATGCCAGTTCTGGGAGTTTAGTCTTCTTAACGCGCCTTTGCATGTTTTATTGGCGAGTGGCGCTCAGCATGAAGGTGCATTTCTGCCACCTACTGTATCAGAGTGTGAGCCAGAGTTACATTTTGCTAGCCTAGCCTTAGCATCTGTAAACTCTGGTCCATGATCATTTCCTACATGTACGTCTGGTCTTACCATGTGTAAACTCTGGTCCATGATCATTTCCTACATGTACGTCTGGTCTTACCATGTGTAAACTCTGGTCCATGGTCATTTCCTACATGTACGTCTGGTCTTACCATGTGTAAACTCTGGTCCATGATCATTTCCTACTTGTACGTCTGGGTCTGATCCTAGTGGCTGCAGTTTCCTCGGTTGAATCCCCTCCGACCAATCAGAGAGCGGGGGAGGCGGGTGTTGTAGGTCGGTGTCGGTGACGTCAAGAGTTTGTGCTGAATTTGCAGGTTGGAGTTTGTTGTAGAATGCGATAGTCAAATAATCTGTTCTGGTTTGATCCAACTATCAAGAAAATGAAGCCGGAGCAAGAGGAATGTTTAGTAAGTTTCAATGTTGGCAAAGATGTTGTGGCTCTACTTAGGCCCCGTTAGCGGCAAAGGAGATGTCTAAAGTTAGGCTAGATGCTAAAACTAGGCTAAATGCTAAATGCCTCACTCACTCTGATGCATTACAAACGTCACGGTAAACTCAGATCCAATCGTTTCAATCTGCAAAAGGAGTTAACCCCTCCCACCTGTTCATGGAGCTCAATGGAGCAAATCCAGACCTTAGTACGAAAGGAAATTATTACTGTGGTGTGGTAAGACCAGGCTAAAAAAACTAAACTGTCTGCTCTGCTCCAACATCTAACACCTGTGGTGGTTCCTCTGAGATGCAGGACTGAGGACAGCCATGATACTGCAAATGTATTCACATTCATTCACATTTATGGACCGTTTTAATTCTCTCTGGACCAATGGCTCTATGTGTTAGTCATTGCATTTATCTGTTTGATTCTCTGATCTGTTGTTGGTGAATCCACAACTATGTAAAGTCTTGTCTCTGGTCCGTGGTCTGGTCTGTGTGTGACCTCTGAGTGTGTCTGGACTGGTCCCTAGTCTCTGGTCTCTCTCTGGTCTCTCTGGTCCCTGGTCTTTCTGTGACCTCTGAGTGTGGACCGGTCAGTGTCATTGTGTCCCTGTGATCCACATTCCTCAGAGACAGCGGCTGCTTCCATGGTTCCTCTTTGCCGCTGCGCCACACACGCAGCCACACACACAGACGTTAAATCAGATAAATGACAGATCCATCCTGAGCAGGTTTTGTCCAGTTTAAACATTTAGTCCGTGACGAATATCAATGAAAATATTATTTATTTATGGGTTTATTGACAACTATAAACAACAGGAAACAGATATACAGAATCCCACGGTTTGAGAAGAGGCTGGAAGAAGCAGACGCATACAGTATACGGCTTTACTTTACACACACATACAACAGACACACACATGTGTGAGCAGCCATGATTACTCTTTCCTACATGAATTTGTTATTTTTAGCCAAAAGAAACTCAAAGAATGTTAGAATCAGGAAGTTATATGTACTTTCTTACTAATGTTTTGGCTACAGTACCTCTCTTTCACTTGTCTCTCTGTTGTCTCTCCCTGGTCTCTCCCTGGTCTCTCTCTGGTCTCTCCCTGGTCTCTCTCTGGTCTCTCTCCCTGGTCTCTCTCTGGTCTCTCTCTGGTCTCTCTCTGTTGTCTCTCCCTGGTCTCTCTCTGTTGTCTCTCTCTGGTCTCTCTCCCTGGTCTCTCTCTGGTCTCTCTCTGGTCTCTCTCCCTGGTCTCTCTCTGGTCTCTCTCCCTGGTCTCTCTCTGGTCTCGCTCTGATCTCGCTCTGATCTCTCTCCCTGGTCTCTCTCTGGTCTCGCTCTGATTTCTCTCCCTGGTCTCTCTCTAGCCTCTCTCCCTGGTCTCTCTCTGTTGTCTCTCCCTGGTCTCTCTCTGGTCTCTCTCTGGTCTCTCTCCCTGGTCTCTCTCTGGTCTCTCTCCCTGGTCTCTCTCTGGTCTCGCTCTGATCTCGCTCTGATCTCTCTCCCTGGTCTCTCTCTGGTCTCTCCCTGGTCTCGCTCTGATCTCTCTCCCTGGTCTCTCTCTAGCCTCTCTCCCTGGTCTCTCTCTGGTCTCTCTCTGTTGTCTCTCCCTGGTCTCTCTCTGGTCTCTCTCTGGTCTCTCTCTGGTCTCTCTCCCTGGTCTCTCTCTGGTCTCTCTCCCTGGTCTCTCTCTGGTCTCGCTCTGATCTCGCTCTGATCTCTCTCCCTGGTCTCTCTCTGGTCTCTCTCTGGTCTCTCTCTGGTCTCTCTCTGGTCTCTCCCTGGTCTCTCCCTGGTCTCTCTCTGGTCTCTCTCCCTGGTCTCTCTCTGGTCTCTCTCTGGTCTCTCTCCCTGGTCTCTCTCTGGTCTCGCTCTGATCTCTCTCCCTGGTCTCTCTCTGGTCTCTCCCTGGTCTCTCCCTGGTCTCTCTCTGATCTCTCTCCCTGGTCTCTCTCTGGTCTCTCTCTGGTCTCTCCCTGGTCTCTCCCTGGTCTCTCTATGGTCTCTCTCTGGTCTCTCTATGGTCTCTCTCTGGTCTCTCTCCCTGGTCTCTCTCTGGTCTCTCTCTGGTCTCTCCCTGGTCTCTCCCTGGTCTCTCTATGGTCTCTCTCTGGTCTCTCTCCCTGGTCTCTCTCTGGTCTCTCTCCCTGGTCTCTCTCTGATCTCTCTCTCTGGTCTCTCCCTGGTCTCTCTCTGGTCTCTCTCTGGTCTCTCTCTGGTCTCTCCCTGGTCTCTCCCTGGTCTCTCTCTGGTCTCTCCCTGGTCTCTCTCTGGTCTCTCTCCCTGGTCTCTCTCTGGTCTCTCTCTGGTCTCTCCCTGGTCTCTCCCTGGTCTCTTAGGTCTCTATATGGTCTCTCTCTGGTCTCTCTCCCTGGTCTCTCTCTGGTCTCTCTCCCTGGTCTCTCTCTGATCTCTCTCTGGTCTCTCTCTGGTCTCTCTCTGGTCTCTCTCTGGTCTCTCTCTGGTCTCTCCCTGGTCTCTCTCTCTGGTCTCTCTCTGGTCTCTCCCTGGTCTCTCTAGTCTCTCTCCCTGGTCTCTCTCTGGTCTCTCTCTGGTCTCTCCCTGGTCTCTCTCTGATCTCTCTCCCTGGTCTCTCTCTGGTCTCTCTCTGGTCTCTCCCTGGTCTCTCCCTGGTCTCTCTATGGTCTCTCTCTGGTCTCTCTATGGTCTCTCTCTGGTCTCTCTCCCTGGTCTCTCTCTGGTCTCTCTCTCTGGTCTCTCCCTGGTCTCTCCCTGGTCTCTCTCTGGTCTCTCCCTGGTCTCTCTCTGGTCTCTCTCTGGTCTCTCTCTGGTCTCTCCCTGGTCTCTCTCTGGTCTCTCCCTGGTCTCTCTCTGGTCTCTCTCTGGTCTCTCTCTGGTCTCTCTCTGGTCTCTCCCTGGTCTCTCCCTGGTCTCTATATGGTCTCTCTCTGGTCTCTCTCCCTGGTCTCTCTCTGGTCTCTCTCCCTGGTCTCTCTCTGATCTCTCTCTCTGGTCTCTCCCTGGTCTCTCTCTGGTCTCTCTCTGGTCTCTCTCTGGTCTCTCTCTGGTCTCTCCCTGGTCTCTCCCTGGTCTCTCTCTGGTCTCTCCCTGGTCTCTCTCTGGTCTCTCTCCCTGGTCTCTCTCTGGTCTCTCTCTGGTCTCTCCCTGGTCTCTCTATGGTCTCTCTCTGGTCTCTCTCTGGTCTCTCCCTGGTCTCTCTCTGGTCTCTCTCCCTGGTCTCTCTCTGGTCTCTCTCTGGTCTCTCCCTGGTCTCTCTATGGTCTCTCCCTGGTCTCTCTCTGGTCTCTCTCCCTGGTCTCTCTCTGGTCTCTCTCTGGTCTCTCTCCCTGGTCTCTCTCTGGTCTCTCTCTGGTCTCTCTCTGGTCTCTCCCTGGTCTCTCTATGGTCTCTCTCTGGTCTCTCTGGTCTCTCTCCCTGGTCTCTCTCTGGTCTCTCTCTGGTCTCTCTCTCTGGTGTCTCTCTCTGGTCTCTCTCTGGTCTCTCTCTGGTCTCTCTCTCTGGTCTCTCTCCCTGGTCTCTCTCTGGTCTCTCTCCCTGGTCTCTCTCTGGTCTCTCTCTGGTCTCTCCCTGGTCTCTCTATGGTCTCTCGCTGGTCTCTCCCTGGTCTCTCTATCCCTGGTCTCTGGTCTCTCTCTCTGGTCTCTCTCTGGTCTCTCTCTCTGGTCTCTCTCCTGGTCTCTCTCTCTGGTCTCTCTCTGGTCTCTCTCTGGTCTGGTCTCTCTGGTCTCTCTCTCTGTTCTCTCTCTCTGGTCTCTCCCTGGTCTCTCTCTGGTCTCTCTTCCTGGTCTCTCTCCCTGGTCTCTCTCTGGTCTCTCTCCCTGGTCTCTCTCTGGTTTCTCTCTGGTCTCTCCCTGGTCTCTCCCTGGTCTCTCTCTGGTCTCTCTCTCTCTGGTCTCTCTCTCTCTCTGGTCTCTCTCTCGCTGGTCTCTCTCTCTCTCTGGTCTCTCTCTCGCTGGTCTCTCTCTCTCGCTGGTCTCTCTCTCTCTGGTCTCTCTCTCTCCCTGGTCTCTCCCTGGTCTCTCTCTGGTCTCTCTCCCTGGTCTCTCCCTGGTCTCTCTCTCTCCCTGGTCTCTCTCTCTCCCTGGTCTCTCTCTCTCCCTGGTCTCTCTCTGGTCTCTCTCTCTCCCTGGTCTCTCTCTCTCCCTGGTCTCTCTCTCTCCCTGGTCTCTCTCTGGTCTCTCTCTCTTTGAGGTCTCTCTCTCTGGTGTCTTCTCACTAACAGTATCTATAACTAATCACATGTTTAACGTCTGTTTTGACGGGTTGCTCTGATGCTGAGGTGACGTCATGTAAAGGCTAGGTCAGCATTAGCATTAGCATTAGCGTTAGCATTAGCATTAGCATTAGCTTCACCGAACACCTTGTAAAGTAAACAAATGTGGGTGTGACAGAGTAAAACCCCATCCATTCATGTCCTCAGCTGCGCAGCCGTTTCTGATCTTCGGCGTGGGCAAAGCGATCCACAGGATGGAGCTGGACGGCAGGAGACAGCGCCGCCTGGTGGCCGGAGCAGGAAGTGCCCTGGTCCTGGACTTTGACTACAGGGAGGAGACGCTGTACTGGGCCGACGCTCACTCTGGGGCCATCTACAAAGCAGCGCTCGGGGCCCACAAACAGGTGAATGAGGAAACCAGAGAGACGGGTGAATGTACAGATGGACGATGCTGACCCGCTAGCTCAATCAAGAAGTGCTCATGGACGAGGTTTTGCTCCACCTCACTATGGCTCCTAGAAGTAAAAGTAAATTCCTCTTGCTCAGTGATCCATGTTTGAGTGCTCTCTGTGATCCAGGGTCCAGACCACACTTTGCTGGGACTCTAAATCTGTCCATAAAACCATAAATGAGGAAAGACCAAAGTGTGAGCCCGTCTGACTCTTGATAAATGGCCAGGATTGATGATCCACCACAGACATACACCGCGTTTAAGCTAATCGTGTATAAGCTAATTTAAGCTAATAGTTGAAAACAATATCAAATCAATGGCCTCTCACTTGGTCAAGAGATTAGTCCAGTTTTGGTTCAATCTAAACAGAAAATGAATGAATGAATGAATGATACCAGGACAGAATTCAGAACAAAAACAGACACAGAGTTAGTCCTGGTTCTGCGTCTCATGACTTTGGGAAAGACGTCCTCCTCATCCTGTCAGTGTGGGACATTCTCCTACTGTCAAAGAGGAGACTGTTCCAATCGTGCGTCACTTAGTCAGACGTCCTTCTGTCTGTGCACCTCACAGTCACAGGGTCCCTCTGCATTCTTGGACTGAGCCAAAAACTGGACCAACAGTGAGTGATCCGTCTCCAATCTCCCTCTTTCTGAGAATACAATATTTAACCACAGCTTTTGGATTCTGTGACTCAGAAAATACACTTTAACGCAGCAGGGACTCTGAGGAGCACAGGGACTGGCCTCCTGCTGGGACTCTGAGGAGCACAGGGACTGGCCTCCTGCTGGGACTCTGAGGAGCACAGGGACTGGCCTCCTGCTGGGACTCTGAGGAGCACAGGGACTGGCCTCCTGCTGGGACTCTGGGGAGCACAGGGACTGGCCTCCTGCTGGGACTCTGAGGAGCACAGGGACTGGCCTCCTGCTGGGACTCTGGGGAGCACAGGGACTGGCCTCCTGCTGGGACTCTGAGGAGCACAGGGCTTGGCCTCCTGCTGGTCCCAGAGTCAGGACTAAACATTAGAAGGCAGTATTTCAGATTCGTACAGCTAAAATCTGGAAAAGTCTTCCTGAAAATGTGAGACAGGCTTCTTCTCTGACCATGCTCAAATCCAGGTTAAAAACAGATATTTTTTGCTTCTAAACTTCCACCCCCTATTTATTATTCTAAATTAATCTAACTTTAATGATGAGGGTAACTGTGATTATTTATTGTTTCTTTAACCACTTTGAGTTGTGGTTAAACTGTGCTATTCCTATAAACTTGCCATTTTTTTAGATCTCCTCAAAGAATCAGAATGACACCTCCTGCCACGTAAGTAACAGGAAGTCACAGACTTGGAAATTGCTTTGGTTCAGTGCAACAGTCAGAGAGAGATAATAAAAAATAAAGAATAAAAATAAAGAATAAAAAGCTGAATGTTCCTAGAAACAGTTTTTTTTTTCCTGTTTTCCTGCAGAGACTTTTCTCCTCGGACAAACCCGTCTCTGGTTTGGCGTTGGACTGGATCGGGAAAAGGATCTTCTGGACGAGCAGTGAGAAGGGAACGCTGCAGAGAGCGGATCACGACGGGAAGCACCGGGAAACCGTCGTGCGGCGCCTGGTCAAGCCCTCAGACATCGCCGTCGACCCCAACCAGAGGTCAGTCAGAGCAGAACCACATGGTACTGGATCTGGGGAGGATGTGAGGAGGGTTGCTGGTCCCATGGCAGCTGCTGGGATCGAAACCATGAGGAGATTTGAGTTTAAGAATTATGATGATTATGACACTTTTTGTTTATAACGGCATCTTTTTAGGATCTCAACAGTGTCTTACAAGAGGTAAAGGTACAGTTAAAACATGGTTACTAGACCAGACTGAGACCAGAAAGACATGCAAGAAGGACCAGAGAGAGAGACAAGTGAGGGACCAGAGAGAGACCAGTGTGACCAGAGAGAGAGACAAGTGAGGGACCAGAGAGAGACCAGTGTGACCAGAGAGAGAAAGACCAGAGAGGGACCAGTGTGACCAGAGAGAGAAAGACCAGAGAGGGACCAGAGTGACCAGAGAGAGACCAGTGTGACCAGAGAGAGAAAGACCAGAGAGAGACAAGTGAGGGACCAGAGAGAAAGACCAGAGAGAGACCAGTGTGACCAGAGAGAGAAAGACCAGAGAGGGACCAGAGTGACCAGAGAGAGAAAGACCAGAGAGAGACAAGTGAGGGACCAGAGAGAGAAAGACCAGAGAGAGACAAGTGAGGGACCAGAGAGAGACCAGTGTGACCAGAGAGAGAAAGACCAGAGAGAGAGACAAGTGAGGGACCAGAGAGAAAGACCAGAGAGAGACCAGTGTGACCAGAGAGAGAAAGACCAGAGAGAGACAAGTGAGGGACCAGAGAGAAAGACCAGAGAGAGACCAGTGTGACCAGAGAGAGAAAGACCAGAGAGGGACCAGAGTGACCAGAGAGAGAAAGACCAGAGAGAGACAAGTGAGGGACCAGAGAGAGACCAGTGTGACCAGAGAGAGAAAGACCAGAGAGAGAGACAAGTGAGGGACCAGAGAGAAAGACCAGAGAGGGACCAGAGTGACCAGAGAGAGAAAGACCAGAGAGAGACAAGTGAGGGACCAGAGAGAAAGACCAGAGAGAGACCAGAGAGAGACCAGTGTGACCAGAGAGAGAAAGACCAGAGAGAGACAAGTGAGGGACCAGAGAGAGAAAGACCAGAGAGAGACAAGTGAGGGACCAGAGAGAGAAAGACCAGAGAGAGACCAGTGTGACCAGAGAGAGAAAGACCAGAGAGGGACCAGTGTGACCAGAGAGAGAAAGACCAGAGAATGACCAGAGAGAGACCAGAGAGATAAAGATCAGAGAGAGACAAGGGAGGAACCAGAGAGAGACAAGCGAGAGAGGTCAGGAAGCCCAGAGAGAGAAACCAGAGAGGGAGACAAGAGAAAGGCAAGAGAGAGACTAAAGAGAAAGATCAGAGAGAGACCTGAAAGACAAGCGAGAGAGACCAGAGAGCAAGACTGGAGAGAGAGACTAGAGAGAGATCAGAAAGACCAGAGAGAGAAACCAGAGGGGCAAAAGAGAGAGACTAAAGAGAGAGAACAGAAAGACAAGAGAGAGAGAGACCAATGTAACTAGAGAGAGGGACAAGAAAGACCAGAGAGAGACCGGAGACACCAGAAAGACTAGCGAGAGAAAGCGAGTCTAGAGAGAGAGACAAGAGAGAAAGATTACAGGGAGAGACCAGAGAGAGATTAGTCAGAGCAGAGAGAGATTAGTAAAACTAGAGAGACCAGAGGGAGACAAGAGAGAGACAAGACACAGATAAGAGAGAGACAAGAGAGACAAGTGAGAGAGACCAGAGAGACACCAGAGAAACCAGAAAGACAAGCGAGAGAGAGACCAGAGAGAGAGACTAAAAAGAGACCAGAAAGAGACCAGAAAGAGACTAGAAGGAGACCAGAGAATGTAGGACCACAGTGACTGGAGGATTGTAATGTAGAAAGTTTCCATTTGAATCCTTGTATAATCCCAGGTTTCTCTTCTGGTTGAGCGGAGAGTCCAGTGTGCAGCGCTCCAATCTGACCGGACACATGAGAACAACCATACTGAAAAGCAGAGAACACCTCAGGGCTCTGTCTGTGGACCATCAAGACCAGAGACTCTTCTGGGTCCAGTCCAACCACCAGGACCAGAGCGTGATCGGCTCCTGCGGCTACAGCGGCGAGGTGCTCCACGTCAGCGACCAGCCACTGGGGTAAAGAGCTCTCTGGTCTCTCTCTCTCTAATCTCTCTCTCTCTCTCTGCTCTCTCTCCCTCTGGTCTATCTCTCTGGTCTCAATCTCTCTTTCTGGTCTCTCTCTCTGGTCTCTCTCTGGTCTCTCTCTCTCTCTCTGGTCCCTCTCTCTCTAATCTTTCTATCTCTCTGCTCTCTCTCCCTCTGGTCTCTCTCTCTCTGCTCTCTCTCCCTCTGGTCTCTCTCTATGGTATCTCTCTCTCTAACCTCTCTCTCTCTCTGGTCCCTCTCTCTCTCTGGTCTCTCTCTCTCTGCTCTCTCTCCCTCTGGTCTCTCTCTCTCTAATCTTTCTATCTCTCTGCTCTCTCTCCCTCTGGTCTCTCTCTATGGTATCTCTCTCTCTAATCTCTCTCTCTGGTCTCTCTCCCTCTGGTCTCTCTCTCTGGTCTCTCTCTCTCTCCCTGGTCTCTCTGTCTTTGGTCTATCTCTTTCTATGATCTCTCTCTCTAGTCTCCCTCTCTCCCTGGTCTCTCTCTATTTGGTCTTTCTCCCTCTGGGCTCTCTCTCTCTCTCTCTGGTCTCTCTCCCTCTGGTCTCTCTCTCTGGTCTCTCTCTCTCTCCCTGGTCTCTCTGTCTTTGGTCTATCTCTTTCTATGATCTCTCTCTCTAGTCTCCCTCTCTCCCTGGTCTCTCTCTATTTGGTCTTTCTCCCTCCGGCCTCTCTCTCTGTCTCTCTGGTCTCTCCCTCTGGCTTCTCTTTCTCTCTGCTCTCTCTCATCATTTTGCTTCTCTCCCAGTTCCTTCTCTTCAGGAATCTCCATCGTTTCCAGTGACCTGTTCTTCACGGACTCAGAAAGACGAGGAGTGAAGCGAGTGGATAAATACGGAGGAGAAGTTTATAAAGTCAACAGGAAAAGTTTCTCCAAACCTTTGGTCGGGATCAGAGTGGTTCAGAAACAGCCTCTGAGAGACACGGCTCCGGGCTCAGGTACGAGTCTGATCCTGTGCAAATGTACAAGCAAATATTTAAAGGAGATTCATACATGTTTAAAGCTGGGGGATCTGATTTTCATACTATAAACATGTGATGATCAGTGATGGGAATAACGGCGTTACTAGATTGTTTTTTTTTACATTTTAGATTAGATTACATTTTTACATTTTAGATTATGTAAAAATGTGTTATATGTATGTTAGCCAAACCTGTTGCTGTCCTTAGCAGATAAACCAGGAAGAGCAAGGAGCTTATCGATGGAATTGTATGCAGCCGACTTCTGCGCTCACATGTGCTCCTCTGTGGCTGACCTCACGGTGATACAAGCCGTGGTAGAGTGTGATTAAGACCAATATTTGTTTAAAAAACACAATTTATGACCATCCTCTCAACTGTAGACATGTAGATTGTAAAGGAAATATGATTTACATCAGCCAATAATTGCTGAGAGGTTTTCTCATCCTCCCTTCTCTCATGACAACACGTTCATTGTGCGTCTTGAGTTTGAGTGCGTCAAAGTAATTAGTTAGATTACTCGTTACTTTTTTCAGTAACGAGTAATCTAACTAATTACTTTGACAGTAACTATAACGCCGTTATCATTTCCGACATCCCGTTACTGCGCGTTACTCAAGACGCACAATGAACGTGTTGTCATGAGAGAAGGGAGGATGAGAAAACCTCTCAGCAATTATTGGCTGATGTAAATCATATTTCCTTTACAATCTACATGTCTACAGTTGAGAGGATGGTCATAAATTGTGTTTTTTAAACAAATATTGGTCTTAATCACACTCTACCACGGCTTGTATCACCGTGAGGTCAGCCACAGAGGAGCACATGTGAGCGCAGAAGTCGGCTGCATACAATTCCATCGATAAGCTCCTTGCTCTTCCTGGTTTATCTGCTAAGGACAGCAACAGGTTTGGCTAACATACATATAACACATTTTTACATAATCTAAAATGCACATAGGGTAATTTTTCAATTACTATAGGAATGATAAGAAAGAGAGGTGAAGTGTAAGACGGTTGATTTTAGAAATTGGATGCAGCCGGCTGCAGCAAAACAGAGGAGTTTACGGAGGACACACGCGTTTTGTTTTACTTTTTAAAACTCATTGGACTCATTTCCAAATGGAGGATTACATATCTACGCTCAAACCATTAACTGGATTTAAACAAGGAACTGGTCTGAACCGAAGTGGACTGTGCAGGTCATTTATAAGGTATAGCTATAAGGTAAGACCCATAACTCATAGTTTTGCGTTTTGTATGAACAAACAATGCGGGCATAAAACATATTTTGCTGTAGCCAAACAAATTGTCCACTTGATTTATATGATGTATATGTTCATCTGATTGGACTGAAGTCAGTGCTTCACCAGCCTCACCGCTCGTCACCGGTGTTTCCACATTCACAGTGGCGGGCTTTACAGCACAGTGAGAGATGAAGAGTGAACAGGACTTCAGCAGCAAAACAGCCTTTTCTAGATGGAAATATTGGCACTGTTAAAGGTAAAAATGCGCACGTCGGGTGCACATTATGTTCCAGAACAAAACGAAAAAGTAACGCAATAGTTACTTTTACTGGTAACTAGTTACTTTTATAGTGGAGTAACTCCGTTAGTAACTCAGTTACTTTTTGGGAGAAGTAACTAGTAACTATAACTAATTACTTTTTCAAAGTAACGTGCCCAACACTGGTGATGATTGTATTATATTATTGGTCACATCTTTAGATTCAGATTTTTCAGACAGAAATATTAAAGAGAAAGACTATGTAGAGACCAGAAAAAGACCATTAAGAAAGAGACCAGAAAGACCAGAGAGAGGCCAGAGAGAGACCAGAGAGAGAGACCAGAGAGAGAGACCAGAGAGAGAGACCAGAGAAAGAGACCAGAGAGAGAGGCCAGAGAGAGACCAGAGAGAGAGACCAGAGAGAGAGGCCAGAGAGAGGCCAGAGAGAGAGACCAGAGAGAGAGGCCAGAGAGAGAGGCCAGAGAGAGACCAGAGAGAGAGACCAGAGAAAGAGACCAGAGAGAGAGGCCAGAGAGAGACCAGAGAGAGAGACCAGAGAGAGAGACCAGAGAGAGAGGCCAGAGAGAGACCAGAGAGAGAGACCAGAGAGAGAGGCCAGAGAGAGAGGCCAGAGAGAGAGGCCAGAGAGAGACCAGAGAGAGACCAGAGAGAGACCAGAGAGAGAGACCAGAGAAAGACCGGAGAGAGATCAGAGAGCCAGCCAATCAGCTCTCAGTCAAAAGAGTCAAAGAGTCACTCACAGGGTTCTTCTTTCTTTGACAAATGAATTGTTGTGGTCTGTACAATAGTTAGAAAATGTGTAATTTATTAAACAAGAAAAAGTTAGGTTTCTGAGCTTTAAAGAAGACATATTCTACTAAATTTATTTTACCCATGTTAAAAACAAACCTAGAATTGTTTTTAGATCGATCCACGCTCAGGAGCTTTGGACACAAACATGTAAGTCCGCCCCTTTCTGTCCAAGAGCTTTACTCCCATAAATAACAGTATATTCATGAGTCAAACTGTATTTTATGATATTTAAGTCCAAACTGGGTTCAGATTTCTATAATTTAAAAGGCCAAAATATTTAATCTCGACTGTGTTTTGAGTGGGGTAAACTTGTCATAGTTCAATTTGTTGATGTGCATTGAAAGTTACGTACCCCAGCTTTAAATAACTGCTCTTTTATTGTGCTGTTGTGTCCCAGGCTGTGACAGACGCAGTGGGGACTGTGTGAATGTGTGTGGTCCGACTGAGGACCAGGTCTGTGTCTGCAGCCCGGGGTTCTCTCTCAGTAAACATGGAGACTACTGTGAAGGTGAGACTGAAACACACTTTAGAGTTAGTGGTTCTGTTGGCACCCCCTCTGCTGCTCTCTGCTCTGTTAGTGTCACTGTTATTGTCGCTCTGGATTTGTTTAATTGAAAAAGGATAACGTTTCTGATTCAGAGGATGGAGGTTCAGAGGCACAAGCTGAAGAGAGTGACTTTTTTACCCAGACATATATTGAAAGAACCAGACCACATCCTGCTTTTATCCAAGTCCTGAGTGATCCAAGATGTCTGCCCTTGGTCACTCCAAAATGTCTTCCTCTGGTCTCTCCAAGATGTCTGCCCCTGCTCTTTCCAAGATGTCTGCACCTGGTCTCTCCAAGATGTCTAGCGCCGTTTTTTCCAAGATGCCTGCCCCTGGTCTTTCCAAGATGTCTGCCCTCGGTCTCTCCAAGATGTCTGCCCCCGGTCTCTCCAAGATGTCTGCCCCCGGTCTCTCCAAGATGTCTGCCCCCGGTCTTTCCAAGATGTCTGCCCCCGGTCTTTCCAAGATGTCTGCCCCTGGTCTTTCCAAGATGTCTGCCCCTGGTCTCTCCAAGATGTCTGCCCTAGTGATGGCAATATGAAGCCCCATGAAGCATTGAGGGATAGCAGCCTATTACTCGGCCCATGAGTGAAGGCTCAAGGTGAATCATGCTCCACTACGCCATCATGTGGACAAAGAAATACATAACACTCTTAAGTGCTTACAATGAATGGTGAGATCTAATGTTAAAATGTATATTTACAATCTATGGTCTAACGTGTTGTGTTTGAAATGATGCTTCATGAACTATGAACTATTTGAGTCTTTCAGTCAATTGTGTTGATACAACAAACACATCCAAAGTAATACAGTTCTACAGAAAGTGATTAATGGAGGAAAAACTACCAAGAGGTGGATTAATTAAACACAACAAACCATTTATTAAAATAAATAAATACATTTACTTTGCAACACAAAATTTATTATGGGTAGACCAGGATTCGAACGCTATATCTTCTGCTTCGGAGTCCGTCATATACCGACTGCGCCACACAGCTGTTGTGAAATGTATTATCCAGCGTATTATTACTAATAACTTGAAGCCTTGATATATGAGGTTTTACTAAAGTGAAACGTTTTTAATTGTATTTCATATGAAGTAGTTTCTCTATACTTAGTACAGGACTACATCACGCACACACACGTACGCACACACACGTACGCACACAGAGGCAGACGGGGACAGCCAATACAGTCTATGGTACAGCCGCGGATCACAAAGCACCTGTCAAAGCAATGCACTCTCCGAACTATATGAAGCACTATATGAACCACTATATGAACCGTGACGTGGTGCGGCCGCTACGCGAGGCTTCGAACGTCACCAACACACGTGACCAATACACGCCTCGACCCACACTTCACAAGAAACGCCCCCAGATTACTCGGTCCACGCTTCGAAGACTCGGTCCGCTCAGCACATCACTAGTCTGCCCCATGGATTTTTAAAAGAAAAGACAAGGGACCACTATAATCCTCACTAAACGTCTGTGTGTGTGTGTCGGTGTGTCGGTGTGTGTGCGTGTGTCTGTGTGTGTGTGTGTGTGCGTGTATGTGTGCGTCTCTGTGTTTGTGTTACAGATGTAAACGAGTGCGCTCTCTGGAACCACGGCTGTTCTCTCGGTTGTGAGAACGTTCCAGGATCTTACTTCTGCACCTGCCCCAGAGGCTACACCCTGCTGCCCGACCGCAAGACCTGCCAGGGTACACACCACACACCCGGGGCTGTGTTTAGATCCATCCAGGCTAACATCAGGGACCTCCGGCACAGACATGTAGCTCATGTCTCTATAATGTTTGTTTTTTTGTTTTTGTGTCATTATGGACCAACTGGGACTCTGAGGAGCACAGGGACTGGCCTCCTGCTGGGACTCTGAGGAGCACAGGGACTGGCCTCCTGCTGGGACTCTGAGGAGCACAGGGACTGGCCTCCTGCTGGGACTCAGAGGAGCACAGGGACTGGCCTCCTGCTGGGACTCAGAGGAGCACAGGGACTGGCCTCCTGCTGGGACTCAGAGGAGCACAGGGACTGGCCTCCTGCTGGGACTCTGAGGAGCACAGGGACTGGCCTCTTGCTGGTCCCAGAGTCAAGACTAAACACAGAATTTAAGATATCTGCAGCTAAAACAGTCTTCCTGAAAATGTGAGACAGACTTCTTCTCTGACATTGTTCAAATCCAGGTTAAAACAGTTGAGTTTCTGCAACAACTGAAGGATTTTATCTTTTTAACGCACTGTGATTTATGATTTTAACGCCTTGAGACTGTTTCCATCTTGTTGTGAGTTGCTTGGTTTATGAACTACGCTATACAAATAAACTTGCCTTAAAAACACAGACACATCCATTTGTTTTGCCTCGACGACGACAACATCTCATTGTCAGAAGGTTTAAAACTGAACTGGATGAGAATAGAATGACTTCATTTTTAGACACAAACACATTCTGTCTCAGGTTTGACACACAACAGTTTCTCTGTGTTTGGAGCCCAGGGGAAGGGTTAAAACACCACAGTGGACTGAGAGGGGCCGAGAGAGAGGGGCCGAGAGAGAGGGGCCGAGAGAGAGGGGCCGAGAGAGAGAGGGGGCCGAGAGAGAGGGGCCGAGAGAGAGGGGCCGAGAGAGAGGGGCCGAGAGAGAGGGGCCGAGAGAGAGAGGGGCCGAGAGAGAGAGGGGCCGAGAGAGAGGGGCCGAGAGAGAGGGGCCGAGAGAGAGGGGCCGAGAGAGAGGGGCCGAGAGAGAGGGGCCGAGAGAGAGGGGCCGAGAGAGAGGGGCCGAGAGAGAGGGGCCGAGAGAGAGGGGCCGAGAGAGAGAGGGGGCCGAGAGAGAGAGGGGCCGAGAGAGAGGGGCCGAGAGAGAGGGGCCGAGAGAGAGGGGCCGAGAGAGAGGAGCCGAGAGAGAGGGGCCGAGAGAGAGGGGCCGAGAGAGAGGGGCCGAGAGAGAGGGGCCGAGAAAGAGGGGCCGAGAGAGAGGAGCCGAGAGAGAGGGGCCGAGAGAGAGGGGCCGAGAGAGAGGAGCCGAGAGAGAGGGGCCGAGAGAGAGAGGGGCCGAGAGAGAGAGGGGCCGAGAGAGAGGGGCCGAGAGAGAGGGGCCGAGAGAGAGGGGCCGAGAGAGAGGAGCCGAGAGAGAGGGGCCGAGAGAGAGGAGCCGAGAGAGAGGGGCCGAGAGAGAGGGGCCGAGAGAGAGGGGCCGAGAGAGAGGGGCCGAGAGAGAGGGGCCGAGAGAGAGGGGCCGAGAGAGAGGGGCCGAGAGAGAGGGGGCCGAGAGAGAGGGGCCGAGAGAGAGGGGCCGAGAGAGAGGGGCCGAGAGAGAGGGGCCGAGAGAGAGGGGCCGAGAGAGAGGGGCCGAGAGAGAGGGGCCGAGAGAGAGAGGGGCCGAGAGAGAGAGGGGCCGAGAGAGAGGGGGCCGAGAGAGAGGGGCCGAGAGAGAGAGGGGCCGAGAGAGAGAGGGGCCGAGAGAGAGGGGCCGAGAGAGAGGAGCCGAGAGAGAGAGGGGCCGAGAGAGAGGGGCCGAGAGTCTGCCTCATTCTGGGCTATAGAAAAAATAATTCTGGAAGCAACAAAACAAGTTGGTAAAATCATAAATAATCACAGTACATTAAAAAGAGTAAAGATAAAATCCTTCAGTTGTTGCAGAAACTGAACTGTTTTTAACCTGGATTTGAACAATGTCAGAGAAGAAGCCTGTCTCACATTTTCAGGAAGATTGTTCCAGATTTTAGCAGCATGAATCTGAAACGCTGCCTTCTGATGTTTAGTCCTAAGTCCGGGACCAGCAGGAGGCCAGTCCCTGTGCTCCTCAGAGTCCCATCAGGAGGCCAGTCCCTGTGCTCCTCAGAGCCCCAGCAGGAGGCCAGTCCCTGTGCTCCTCAGAGTCCCATCAGGAGGCCAGTCCCTGTGCTCCTCAGAGTCCCAGCAGGAGTCCAGTCCCTGTGCTCCTCAGAGTCCCAGCAGGAGGCCAGTCCCTGTGCTCCTCAGAGCCCCAGCAGGAGGCCAGTCCCTGTGCTCCTCAGAGTCCCAGCAGGAGTCCAGTCCCTGTGGTACAATACAATACAATTTATTCTTGTATAGCCCTAGGTCACAACAGAAGTCATCTCAGAGACTTAACAAAACCATTGAAATCACCAACACAGGTCAGAGAATCAACAGTTAAAACACATGAAGAATATAAAGCACACACAGAAGAAAATGTCCATACATGTTGTAGAATGCTAAAGTGTCCTGATCATCACCAATCCTTTCTGTTGGACACTAACTGTCCAACAAGACCCTCCTGCATCGACAAGGAAAAACTCTTAAAAAACCCAGTGGGAAAACGTGAGAAACCTTGGAGGAGAACTAGGGAAACCCACAGGGAGGGAGACCCATTTGAGAAAGGGATCCGCTCCTCCGGACGGACAGGCTAATGATCCAGGACCTAAGCTAGCTACAGAACGTGGACCAGTGGCCGCTGAACGTGGACAGGTCCGGTGCAGGACCGAAGCACTCCCAGGCGGGTCGGGCGGGGCAGTCCGCAGGTGTAGATGGAGGCCAGGCTCAGAGATCCCGTCATCGTACCATGAAACAGACAATGGGACAACGGGTGAATAGCAATGAACAAACTACAGTCAGAATCCTAAAAATGCTAAACAGATAAAGTAGGAAGGAAGAGAGGATAGTGCTCAAGTTACCATACTTCTCCCAGCAAACTGACTCCCTATGCAGCTTGACTAACACTCTGAGGAGTTTAACCTTCTCCGAGTCTTACCTTCCTAGCCATATGCTAAACTAAAGAGGACTGTTTTAAACCTAGCCTTGAATAAAGAATAACATACAGCATAATATATAACATAATATACAACATAACACAATACATTATTGAATAATATATAACATAATATATAACATAATACAGCATATATATATAATATATACACTACATGTTATATATTACCTAATTATATGCTAAATTAAAGTAAAGTGCTTTAAGCCTCCTGCTGGTCCTCAGAGTCTCAGCAGGAGGCCAGTCCCTGTGCCCCTCAGAGACATGTTGAGCAAAAATTAAAGTCAGAAAAACACACAATTATTTTTAACCATCAAATGTCCAAAGCATTGTGTTGTGTGCGTTGTGTGTTGCAGAGATGGTGCACTGTGTTGTGATTGTGTGTTGCAGAGATGGTGCTCTGTGTTGTGATTGTGTATGCTTGTGTGTTGCAGAGATGGTGAAGTGTCCCGGAGGTGTTGTCTGTGGCAGTGGTTGTGTAGCGGTGGAAGGCAGACTGCAGTGTGTGTGTCCTCCAGGGTCAGTGCTGCAGGAGGACGCACAAACCTGCTCCGGTACGAGGAAGTGCAGCTACACAACCATGAACACACATCAGCTACACAACCACGAACACACATCCAGCTACACAACCATGAACACACATTGAGCTACACAACCAAGAACACACATCCAGCTCTAAATCACAACAGCAGTTATCTCTGAGGACTTTAAAAATGCTGAGACTAGAGAGAGACTAGAGAGAGACTAGAGAGACTAGAGAGAGACTAGAGAGAGACCAGAGAGAGACCAGAGAGAGACCAGAGAGACTAGAGAGAGACTAGAGAGACCAGAGAGACTAGAGAGAGACCAGAGAGACTAGAGAGAGACAAGAGAGAGACCAGAGAGACTAGAGAGAGACTAGAGAGACTAGAGAGAGACTAGAGAGAGACCAGAGAGAGACCAGAGAGACTAGAGAGAGACTAGAGAGACCAGAGAGACTAGAGAGAGACTAGAGAGAGACCAGAGAGACTAGAGAGACTAGAGAGACCAGAGAGACTAGAGAGAGACAAGAGAGAGACCAGAGAGACTAGAGAGAGACCAGAGAGACTAGAGAGAGACCAGAGAGACTAGAGAGAGACTAGAGAGAGACCAGAGAGACTAGAGCTAGAGATACTAAAGAGAGAGACCAGAGAGACTAGAGAGAGACTAGAGAGACCAGAGAGACTAGAGAGAGACCAGAGAGAGAGATACTAAAGAGAGAGACCAGAGAGACTAGAGAGAGACCAGAGAGACCAGAGAGACTAGAGAGAGACCAGAGAGACCAAAGAGACTAAAGAGAGAGACAGAGACCTGAGAGAGGGACTAGAGAGAGTCTTCTGAAGAGCAGTTAGTGCTAACAGTTTAAACACAAGAAATGCGACGATCAAAAACACATCGAGCACGCAGTCCATAAGGGTCAACGCTCAGACCCACATGGTTTATGAATGAATCAACCAATCATAAATGGTTTCTCCACTTATAGTAGCTGTATTGTCGTGCGCTCGTCACAACCTCTTGTTTCAGGATGTTCGTCGTCAGACCGAGGCGGCTGCAGTCAGCTCTGTGTCTCTCTGAACTCCAGCTCTGACTCTGGGCAGTGGGAGTGCGGCTGTGCTCCTGGGTACCAGCTGCAGCCGGACGGGAGGCGCTGCACGGCACCAGGTGAGACGTGATGGTGTCCTGGGGAGATAGTCGGCCGTCAATGACCTCACCCTGTGGCTAACTGCACAGCTGCTAGCTTACAGCTGGTCTCTGGGGTTGATAGTATGGATCTAACAGGTGGATATGGGATTTCTAATGTGTGGATGGTAGTGTGACCGTTACCAGAGAGAGAGACCAGAGAGATAAATAAATATAAACTGTACCTTTGCATGATAAGAAGCAGAGTGTATAGAGTTTGTGGTGTGTTCTTCAGGTCCTCCTCCTCTGCTGCTGGTGTCGTCTCTGGTCGACATCCGGACGCTTCGCACTGATGGTTCAGAGGAGCAGGTCCTGGTCTCTGAGTCCACGGGGAGGATCTCAGCCCTGGACTACGACCCGGTCCAGAAGCAGGTCTGCACCATTCAGAAATATGAAGACTAGAGGGAGACCAGAGGGAGACCAGAGGGAGGCCAGGGAGAGACCAGAGGGAGACCAGAGAGAGACTAGAGAGAGACCAGAGAGAGACCAGAGAGAGACCAGAGAGAGGCCAGAGAGAGACCAGAGGGAGGCCAGAGGGAGACTAGAGAGAGACTAGAGAGAGACCAGAGAGAGACCAGAGAGAGACCAGAGAGAGACCAGAGAGAGACCAGAGAGAGACCAGAGAGAGACCAGAGAGAGACCAGAGAGAGACCAGAGAGAGACCAGAGAGAGACTAGAGAGAGACTAGAGAGAGACCAGAGAGAGACCAGAGAGAGGCCAGGGAGAGACCAGAGAGAGACCAGAGAGAGACCAGAAAGAGACCAGAAAGAGACCAGAAAGAGACCAGAGAGAGACCAGAGAGAGACCAGAGAGAGACCAGAAAGAGACCAGAAAGAGACCAGAAAGAGACCAGAGAGAGACCAGAGAGAGACCAGAGAGAGGCCAGGGAGAGACCAGAGAGAGACCAGAGAGAGACCAGAGAGAGACTAGAGAGAGACCAGAAAGAGACCAGAAAGAGACCAGAAAGAGACCAGAAAGAGACCAGAGAGAGACCAGAGAGAGACCAGAGAGAGACCAGAAAGAGACCAGAAAGAGACCAGAAAGAGACCAGAGAGAGACCAGAGAGAGACCAGAGAGAGACCAGAGAGAGACCAGAGAGAGACCAGAGAGAGACCAGAGAGAGACCAGAGAGAGAGACCAGAAAGAGACCAGAGAGGGACCAGAGAGAGAAACCAAAGAGAGAGACCACAGAGAAGAGAGACCAGAAAGAGAATACTTAATGGCTTTATAAAAATCTCCAAACACAGATTTCTGGTACTCCAGGCCACAGCTGGTGTTCAGGTCGAGTACTTTTGCAGGTGTACTATGTGTACTTGTGCAGGTGTGTTACAGGTGTACTATGTGTACTTTTGAGGGTGTACTATGTGTACTTTTGAGGGTGTACTATGTGTACTTTTCAGGGTGTACTATGTGTACTTTTGAGGGTGTACTATGTGTACTTTTGAGGGTGTACTATGTGTACTTATGAGGGTGTACTATGTGTACATTTGAGGGTGTACTATGTGTACATTTGCAGGTGTACTATGTGTACTTTTGCAGGTGTACTATGTGTACATTTGCAGGTGTACTATGTGTACTTTTGCAGGTGTACTATGTGTACTTTTACAGGTGTACTATGTGAGCTGGAGCCGCAGGACCATAGAGAGAGTGAGTTTGGAGACGCACCATCGTCACGTTGTGCTGTCGCTGGTCCAGGCTCATGGTCTGAGCATAGACTGGATCCACCGCACCCTCTACTGGACAGACCAGAGGTGACACTACACACTTACTACACACTTACTACACACTCTCTACACACTCTCTACACACTTACTACACACATACAACATGTGTGTGTGTGTATGTGTATATGTATGTGTGCATCTATATATGTGTGTGTGTACGTGTGTATGTATGCAACTATATATATGTATGTGTGTGTGTGTGTGTGCATGTTTTTGTGTGTATGTATTTGCCTGTGTTTGTGTATATATGTGTGTGTGTGTGTGTTTGTGTATATTATGCATTGTGTGTGTGTGTGTGTGTGTGTGCGTGCATCTAAAGTGTGTGTGATTTTCACATCGTACTCTCTCTGTGTTTTCAGCCGCTCGACGATAGAGCGCAGTTCTCTGAGTGGACTGAGGAGAGAAACCCTGGTCAGAGACGGAGTTCACAAACCACAGGCTGTGGCCGTTCACCCTTCAGTCAAGTGAGTCTCTGGAGTTTCACAGGTTTGGATTATTTCGGTATCGCCCTAAATCACAACAACAGTGATCTCTGCGGACTCTACAAAACTGTTGAATTCACCGACACAGATTAGAGAATCAAGTTCAAACACAATAGAAAACACATAGGTCCATATAAGGGGCAGAGACCAATGTCCCTAAATGTTGCTAGAATGAGTCTGGTGTGTGTGTGAATGGTTGGTGGTGGAGGGAGGGGCTGATGGCACAGACTGGTTGCCTCGCTTCTGTCAGTGTGCCCCAGGGCAGCTGTGGCTACTGTGGTACTTTATCACCACCATGGTTTGGAGCTAGATGGAAAACACACCAGCACATCCAGCCTGAAACCTGGATCTACCTGTGTGTCTGTGGGATCTCTCTCTCTCAACGTGGGCCTCCCGGGGGTTTCTCACATTTTTCCCACTGGGTCCAGACTGGGACCTCAAAGATGAAGGAGGGACTAAGGACAGTGAGGATTCGAGACGTTTTAAGGTGGTGCGGTTCACTTTTTCAAATGTGAAGCCTGTTTAAAAGAAGAGGGAAGAATCAGAGAGACCAGAAAGAGACCACAGAGAGACCAGAGAGAGACCGGAGAGAGACCGGAGAGAGACCAGAAAGAGACCACAGAGAGACCAGAGAGAGACCGGAGAGAGACCAGAAAGAGACCAGAGAGAGACCAGGGAGAGACCACAGAGAGGCCAGGGAGAGACCAGAGAGAGACCACAGAGAGGCCAGGGAGAGACCAGAGAGAGACCACAGAGAGGCCAGGGAGAGACCAGAGAGAGACCAGAGAGAGGCCAGGGAGAGACCCGAGAGCGACCACAGAGAGGCCAGGGAGAGACCAGAGAGAGACCAGAGAGAGCCCAGAGAGAGACCACAGAGAGGCCAGGGAGAGACCAGAGAGAGACCAGAGAGAGACCAGAAAGAGGCCAGGGAGAGACCCGAGAGAGACCACAGAGAGGCCAGGGAGAGACCCGAGAGAGACCAGAAAGAGGCCAGGGAGAGACCCGAGAGAGACCACAGAGAGGCCAGGGAGAGACCCGAGCGAGACCAGAGAGAGACCAGAAAGAGACCAGAGAGAGACCAGAGAGAGACCAGAGAGAGACCAGAGAGAGACCAGAGAGAGAGACCGGAGAGAGAGACCAGAGAGAGAGACCAGAGAGAGACCAGAGAGAGACCAGGGAGAGACCGGAGAGAGACCGGAGAGAGACCAGAAAGAGACCACAGAGAGACCAGAGAGAAACCGGAGAGAGACCAGAAAGAGACCACAAAGAGACCAGAGAGAGACCAGAGAGAAACCAGAGAGAGACCAGAGAGAGACCAGAGAAAGACCGGAGAGAGGCCAGAGAGAGACCGGAGAGAGGCCAGAGAGAGACCAGAGAGAGACCAGAGAGAGGCCAGAGAGAGACCAGAGAGAGACCAGAGAGAGACCGGAGAGAGACCAGAAAGAGACCAGAGAGAGACCAGAGAGAGACCAGAGAGAGGCCAGAGAGAGACTGGAGAGAGGCCAGAGAGAGACCAGAGAGAGACCAGAGAGAGACCAGAGAGAAACCAGAGAGAGACCAGAGAGAGGCCAGAGAGAGACCAGAGAGAGGCCAGAGAGAGACCGGAGAGAGACCAGAAAGAGACCAGAGAGAGACCAGAGAGAGACCAGGGAGAGACCAGAGAGAGACCAGGGAGAGACCAGAGAGAGACCAGGGAGAGACCAGAGAGAGACCAGGGAGAGACCAGAGAGAGACCAGAGAGAGACCAGAGAGAGACCAGAGAGAGACCAGAGAGAGGCCAGAAAGAGACCAGAGAGAGACCAGAGAGACACCAGAGAGATTACACACAGAGACCAGAGAGAGACCAGAGAGACACCAGAGAGAGACCAGAGAGATTACACACAGAGACCAGAGAGAGACCAGAGAGACACCAGAGAGATTACACACAGAGACCAGAGAGAGACCAGAGAGACACCAGAGAGATTACACACAGAGACCAGAGGGAGACCAGAGAGAGAGTCCAGAGAGACCACAAAGAGATTTGGGGCTATACAAAATTTAATTGAATTGACACGCCTCCTCCTCCTCCTCCTCCTCCTCCTCCTCCTCCTCCTCCTCCTCCTGTCCTCTGGTAGTCGTGTGTTCTGGACCGACGTGGGCCCGGTCCCCGCGGTCCTGGCCTCCTCTCTGGACGGGCAGGACCATGTGGTGGTGGCGGACACAGACCTGGTGTCTCCGTGTGCTCTGTGTGTGGACTTCAGCTCAGACAGACTGTGGTGGAGCGACAGCAGCACAGGCCAAGTCCACAGCTCTGAGCTGGACGGGACGCTGAGGAGACGCCTGCCTCTGACGCATGTAGGTGAGGAGAGACCAGAGACCTGACCAGAGACCGGACCAGAGACCGGACCAGAGACCGGACCAGAGACCGGACCAGAGACCAGACCAGGGACCAGACCAGGGACCAGACCAGGGACCAGACCAGGGACCAGACCAGGGACCAGACCAGGGACCAGACCAGGGACCAGACCTGAGACCAGACCTGAGAGCAGAGACCAGAGACCAGAGAGGAGAGAGCAGAGACCAGAGAGCAGAGAGGAGAGTAGAGACTAGGGGTGGGAACCTCAGGGTACCTCACGATACGATACGATACACGATACAAAGCTCACGATAACAATTTTATCACGATATTACGATTATCGATATATTGGTCAGAAATATACCATATGCCAATTTATGGCATGAAAAAATACACTTTATTTCATGATAAATGGAATGGAGATGTGTAATGTAGTCATATATGAAGTATTGATACTAATTTTTAAAAATTGAAAATTGAAAAAAATAATATATATATATATATAATATTATTTTTTTATTTTTTTTCAAAATCGATATTGATACTTGGCAAATGCATATCAATAATCGAATCGCGGGAGAAAGCATCGTCACACCCCACCCACCCCAGAGACCACAGACCAGAGACCAGAGATCTGAGAGCAGAGAGGAGACCAGAGAGGAGAGACCAGAGAGGAGAGACCAGAGAGGAGAGACCAGAGAGGGAGAGACCAGAGAGGGAGAGACCAGAGAGGAGAGACCAGAGAGGAGAGACCAGAGAGGAGAGACCAGAGAGGAGAGACCAGAGAGGGAGAGACCAGAGAGGGAGAGACCAGAGAGGGAGAGACCAGAGAGGAGAGACCAGAGAGGAGAGACCAGAGAGGAGAGACCAGAGAGGGAGAGACCAGAGAGGAGAGACCAGAGAGGAGAGACCAGAGAGGAGAGACCAGAGAGGAGAGACCAGAGAGGAGAGACCAGAGAGGAGAGACCAGAGAGGAGAGACCAGAGAGGAGAGACCAGAGAGGAGAGACCAGAGAGGAGAGACCAGAGAGGAGAGACCAGAGAGGAGAGACCAGAGAGGGAGAGACCAGAGAGGAGAGACCAGAGAGGAGAGACCAGAGAGGAGAGACCAGAGAGGAGAGACCAGAGAGGAGAGACCAGAGAGGAGAGACCAGAGAGGGAGAGACGAGAGGAGAGACCAGAGAGGAGAGACCAGAGAGGAGAGACCAGAGAGGAGAGACCAGAGAGGAGAGACCAGAGAGGAGAGACCAGAGAGGAGAGACCAGAGAGGGAGAGACGAGAGGAGAGACCAGAGAGGAGAGACCAGAGAGGAGAGACCAGAGAGGAGAGACCAGAGAGGAGAGACCAGAGAGGAGAGACCAGAGAGGAGGAGACCAGAGAGGAGAGACCAGAGAGGAGAGACCAGAGAGGGAGAGACCAGAGAGGAGAGACGAGAGGAGAGACCAGAGAGGAGAGACCAGAGAGGAGAGACCAGAGAGGAGAGACCAGAGAGGAGAGACCAGAGAGGAGAGACCAGAGAGGGAGAGACGAGAGGAGAGACCAGAGAGGAGAGACCAGAGAGGAGAGACCAGAGAGGAGAGACCAGAGAGGAGAGACCAGAGAGGAGAGACCAGAGAGGAGAGACCAGAGAGGGAGAGACCAGAGAGGAGAGACGAGAGGAGAGACCAGAGAGGAGAGACCAGAGAGGAGAGACCAGAGAGGAGAGACCAGAGAGGAGAGACCAGAGAGGAGAGACCAGAGAGGAGAGACCAGAGAGGAGAGACCAGAGAGGAGAGACCAGAGAGGAGAGACGAGAGGAGAGACCAGAGAGGAGAGACCAGAGAGGAGAGACCAGAGAGGAGAGACCAGAGAGGAGAGACCAGAGAGGAGAGACCAGAGAGGAGAGACGAGAGGAGAGACCAGAGAGGAGAGACGAGAGGAGAGACCAGAGAGGGAGAGACCAGAGAGGGAGAGACCAGCGGAGAGACCAGAGGAGAGACCAGAGGAGAGACAAGAGAGGAGACCAGAGACCTGAGACCTGAGACCTGAGACCTGAGACCTGAGACCTGAGACCTGAGACCTGAGACCTGAGACCTGAGACCGGAGACCGGAGACCGGAGACCGGAGACCGGAGACCGGAGACCGGAGACCGGAGACCGGAGACCGGAGACCGGAGACCGGAGACCGGAGACCGGAGACCAGAGACCAGAGACCAGAGACCAGAGACCAGAGACCAGAGACCAGAGACCAGAGACCAGAGACCAGAGACCAGAGACCAGAGACCAGAGACCAGAGACCAGAGACCAGAGTACTGGCGACCCTGATCCCAACTCTGTGTGGAGTGAGAAGACAAATGCCCAAAAAAATAATAACAATTGTAAACCGCTTTGTGACCCTTGTCTGTGAAAGGCGGTATATAAATAAACATTACTTACTTACTTACCAGAGACACTGAGACCAGGGACTAGGGACCACCTGAGAGCAGAGACCAGGCCCCAGTCTTGGATCTCTCTCTCTGGTCTCTGGGCCTCCCCAAGGTTTCTCCCATGGGTCTAAGGACAGTGATGATCACGGGAAATGTAATAATGTGTGCGTGTGTGTGTCTGTGTCTTTGTCTGTGTGCGCGCATGTGTGTGTGTCTGTGTCTGTGCGCGCGTGTGTGTGTGTGTGTGTGTGCGCGTATGTGTGTGTGTGTGTTAGCTCCAGTCTTCGGTCTGGCTGTGTGGGAGGACACACTGTGGCTGTCGGACCACCAGCAGCTGACCAGCGTGGACACTCGCACAGGGGACCAGGTGAGCCGCCTCCAGACCCACATGGTCCGACCGGCTCACATGGTCCTGCTGCATCCACTCGCCAAACCAGGTGAGCTTTCAAACTGGTCTCATAGTCTTAAAGTTGCGGGAACATAAATAAATGTAAAAAGTTTATTTTGTGTTCTTACGTTTAAAGGATAGAAGGTTCTTTTAATAACTCACAGACACACACAGACGCACACAGGCTCACTCAGACTCTCACACACACATAGACACACTCAGAAACACACAATCTCTGACCCTAACCTATCCCCCATGTATATCAGATGTTGTGTTGTACTTATGTTGTTGTATTGTGTGTGTGATCTTGTGTTGTATATATGTTGTGTTGTGTTGTGTACAGAGGCCAACATGTGTCTGGACCATAACGGAGGCTGTGACCATGTGTGTGAGAGCAGACTGGGACAGGTCCACTGCTCCTGTCTCCCTCACTATACTCTGTCTGCAGACGCCACGCACTGCCACCAGGGGGAGCCACCCTCTGCAGGTCACTACACACCACTCCATCATACATTTTATGTCTTTTGGGTTTTTTTCACCATGTTACAATATTTTTGGCTCAACAAACACAACTCCATCCATAACACATACCCCCAACTCTTCTGGTCTCTCTCTCTCCCTCCCTCTGGTCCCTCTCTCTGGTCTCTCTCTGGCCTCTCTCTAGTCTCTTACTCTGGTCTCTCTCTGGTCTCTCTCTGGTCTCTCTCTGGTCCCTCTCTGGTCTCTCTCTGGTCCCTCTCTGGTCCCTCTCTGGTCTCTCTCTGGTCTCTCTATGGTCTCTCTCTCTGGTCTCTCTCTCTGGTCTCTCTCTAGTCTCTTACTCTGGTCTCTCTCTGGTCTCTCTTTAGTCTCTCTAGTCTCTCTAGTCTCTCTCTGGTCACTCTCTGGTCTCTCTCTAGTCTCTCTAGTCTCTAGTCTCTCTAGTCTCTCTCTGGTCTCTCTCTGGTCTCTCTCTGGTCTCTCTCTGGTCTCTCTCTGGTCTCTCTCTAGTCTCTCTCTGGTCTCTCTCTGGTCTCTCTCTAGTCTCTCTCTGGTCTCTCTCTGGTTCTTCTCTGGCCTCTCTCTGGTCTCTATCTGGTCTCTCTCTGGTTCTTCTCTGGCCTCTCTCTGGTCTCTCTCTGGTCTCTCTCTGGTCTCTCTGGTCTCTCTCTGGTCTCTCTCTCTGGTCTCTCCCTGGTCTCTCTCTCTGGTCTCTCTCTCTGGTCTCTCTAGTCTCTTACTCTGGTCTCTCTCTGGTCTCTCTTTAGTCTCTCTAGTCTCTCTCTGGTCACTCTCTGGTCTCTCTCTAGTCTCTCTAGTCTCTGGTCTCTCTAGTCTCTCTCTGGTCTCTCTCTGGTCTCTCTCTGGTCTCTCTCTGGTCTCTCTCTGGTCTCTCTCTAGTCTCTCTCTGGTCTCTCTCTGGTCTCTCTCTAGTCTCTCTCTGGTCTCTCTCTGGTTCTTCTCTGGCCTCTCTCTGGTCTCTCTCTGGTCTCTCTCTGGTCTCTTTCTGGTCTCTCTCTGGTCTCTCTCTCTGGTCTCTCCCTGGTCTCTCTCTGGTCTCTCTCTGGTCTCTCTCTGGTCTCTCTCTGGTCTCTTTCTGGTCTCTCTCTGGTCTCTCTCTCTGGTCTCTCCCTGGTCTCTCTCTGGTCTCTCTCTGGTCTCTCTCTGGTCTCTCTCTGGTCTACAGTTCACCATTCTGTCTCTGTGATCTTGTGAATGTAACAGGTTTGTGATGCTTTTAATCGTAGACAACAACAAAACAGACAAAGAAGAAATCACACAAACTACGACAGAGGCAGTGGTGACGGAGACCTCTGACCCCACGTCCGCTCTGACGGACAAGATGGCGGCAGGTAACGCTCAAACGGAACACGTGGTTTAAAGATACATTTGTTTAATAGTATGTGGGGGGAGTTACAGCTTTAAACCAGACTCTGGTCTCTCTTTGGTCTCTCTCTGATCCATCTCTGGTCTCTCTCTGGTCTCTCTCTGGTCTCTCTCTCTGTTCTCTCTCTGGTCTCTCTCTGGCCTCTCTCTGGTCTCTCTCTGGTCTCTCTCTGGTCTCTCTCTGGTCTCTCTGGTCTCTCTCTGGCCTCTCTCTGGTCTCTCTCTGGTCTCTCTCTGGTCTCTCTCTGGTCTCTCTGGTCTCTCTCTGGTCTCTCTCTGGTCTCTCTCTGGTCTCTCTGGTCTCTCTCTGGTCTCTCTCTCTGGTCTCTCCCTGGTCTCTCTCTGGTCTCTCTCTGGTCTCTCCCTGGTCTCTCTCTGGTCTCTCTCTGGTCTCTCTCTGCAGATGAGAGAGACTGTGGGCTGCAGTGTGACATCACAGCCCAGTGTGTGTGGACAGCAGGGGGCAGTGTCTGCGTCTGTGGACAGGGACTCACGTGTTCAGGTGAGAGGACCAGAAGGACTATGAAGGACGGAGGACTATGAAGGATTGAATGTGTGGAGCCAGTTTAGTTTTTAGTTTGAACCCTCAGCCTTTGCTCTGCTGTCGGGGAATCTCTTTGACCATAAAACATCGTAAGAAGGACAGGAGAAGGAACTTTCATTTTTGGTCAAATATATTCAGTTATGTCTCTGAGTCGGGCGGCAGCAGCAGTGTGTGTGAGCTGAAGGTTGGTGGTTCGAATCCTGCTCATCACATAAACATCACTGGTTGAATAGTGTCAGATCGACTCACAGGGGCGTGTCCTTGAGCAGACACACTGGAGAATCGACAGCTTTGAAAAGTTCCATCTTCTTTAGTTTTGATTAGATTCAAAATATTTGTCATTATTGGATGTTGTAGCAGTGAGTTTGTGTTTCTCGATTGTTGGTATTACCCAGACCCTAATGCACTAAAGCTAACGCTAACGCTAATGCTAATCAACCATCCTGTAACACTAATACTATGATGTTCCCTCTACTCCCAGAGGTGGCGACAGAGAGGGAGACAGAGAGCCCAGAGGTGACAGAGAGAGAGACAGAGAGGGAGACAGAGAGAGAGACAGAGAGGGAGACAGAGAGGGAGACAGAGAGCCCAGAGGTGACAGAGAGAGAGACAGAGAGGGAGACAGAGAGAGAGACAGAGAGCCCAGAGGTGACAGAGAGAGAGACAGAGAGGGAGACAGAGAGAGAGACAGAGAGGGAGACAGAGAGCCCAGAGGTGACAGAGAGAGAGACAGAGAGGGAGACAGAGAGGGAGACAGAGAGCCCAGAAGTGACAGAGAGGGAGACAGAGAGCCCAGAGGTGACAGAGAGGGAGACAGAGAGCCCAGAGGTGACAGAGAGGGAGACAGAGAGGGGGACAGAGAGCTCAAAGGTGACAGAGAGGGAGACAGAGAGCCCAGAGGTGACAGAGAGGGAGACAGAGAGCCCAGAGGTGACAGAGAGGGAGACAGAGAGGAAGACAGAGAGGAAGACAGAGAGGAAGACAGAGAGGGAGACAGAGAGGGAGACAGAGAGAGAGACAGGGAGCCCAGAGGAGACGGAGAAGGAGACAGAGAGAGAGACAGAGAGGAGCACAGAGGAGACGGAGAGGGAGACAGAGAGAGAGACAGAGAGGAGCACAGAGGAGACGGAGAAGGAGACAGAGAGAGAGACAGAGAGGAGCACAGAGGAGACGGAGAGGGAGACAGAGAGGAGCACAGAGAGGGCCACAGAGAGGGCCACAGTGAGCCCAGAGGTGGATAACGTAACGACGGTGGAGAAGTGTCCGTCCAGCCACGACTCGTACTGTCTGTACCAGGGAGTCTGCTTCTACTTCCCCGACATGAAGTCCTACGCCTGCAAGTACGTCTACCATATGCTCTCTCTGTTCTCTCCACCTGGTCTCTTACTGGACTCCTTCTGGTCTCTCTCTCTGTCTCTCTCTGGTCTCTCCCTTCTCTCTCTCTCTCTCTCTCTGGTCTCTCTTTGGTCTCTGTTTGGTCTCTCTCTCTAGTCTAACCCTGTGCTCTCTCACAGCTGTGTGTCTGGCTTCATGGGAGAGCGGTGTCAGTTCAGTGACCTAGAGTGGATGGAGCAGCAGCAGCAGCAGAAGAAGAAGAAGAACGTGACCATAGCGGTCTGCGTTGTGACCCTCGTCTCCCTGATCTCCATCGCTGCCTGCGTCACCTACTGCTACGGGTCAGACACACTCGCCATCTGGTCTCTCTCTCTGGTCTCTCTCTCTGGTCTCTCTCTCTGGTCTCTCACTGCTCTCCCCTGGACTGTCTAGCCACACCCTAATCCTGATGCTAAGGCTATATCCACACGAAGACAAAACGCTTATAATTTCAGAAACTTTTTCTGTAAACACGGAGTTAGCTCAGTAAATGTGTGCGTCCATATGAATGTAGTCAATACGCCTGAAAACGCTGTGAAACTATGCCAGACCTGTTGGTGGCGCTGTGACGCAATGACGGGATCAAGCCCAAACTTCCGTGGGCATGCGCAGAATTTTGTAAACAGACAACATGGCGAGTGGGCGAGCTGGTACTACATTAGTATGGACGGACGATGAGGTTGAACTGTTGCTTCGGGTCGCACTGGATTACAAAACCAACAAGCTACATTGTTGTTGTCATTATTTTCTGAGTGCGGCGCATGCGTGCTTTAACAAGAGGCGGGGCGATGACGCAAGCGTCTCAGATACATTGCGGAGAGGCAGTAACCACGGAGCGGCATATACGGAGTTTTGAAATCTTTCCACTCTGGGACCTAGTTTCAAAAATGTTCGTTTACACCCCCCCAAAACGCCGGCCTCGTATGGACGATACACTGGATTGATAAAGTATTTTTGCGTTTAGGCCTGAGCTTGACTTCGTGTGGACAGGGCATTACTCATTAACAAACTAAGGTCTGTTTGATGTGGTAGGGAACAGGCCTAATGACCCTGCTGCGGCTAACGATGCTAACTCATTAGCATGTCACACACCTATTGTCTGCTGAGATTGCTCGAGTGGAGTTCAGGTCTCCCCACTCCTAAAGGAGTGGCCCACTTTGACCACTCCTAGTGGAGAAATATTTACCGCATACAATTACAGGTTATGCAATAATAACATGGAATAATTTATTTGATTAAAACCACCTTGGAGATGCTGGGGATTGAACCCAAGACCTCATACATGCTAAGCATGCTCTCTTCCACTGAGCTACATCCCCTTACAGTAGGGTATACAAAAACTCTTTTTCAAGATGTGCAATAATGCACTACATTCTTAGCATGCATGAGGTACTGGGTTAAATCCCCAAAGTAATCCAACATTTGTCATGGTTCGGAGCGTCCGTTCTATCACTGAGCTCCATCCCCTTAAGGTATCATCGTATTACAGTTGGTTATGCAACACTTTGTTTTCAAGATGTGCAATAATAAGATGGAGTAATTCATTAAATTAAAAACACCTTGAAGATACTGAGGATTGAACCCAGGACTTCATACTTGCAAAGCATGTGCTCTACCACTGAGCTCCATCCCCTTTAAGTTCTCATTTGGTTTCACTTGATTATCCAACAACTTGTTTTCAAGATGTGCAATAAAAACATGGAATATTTCAATTGATTAAAACACCTTGGAGAGGCTGGAGATTGAAGCAAGGAGCTGCATCTCCTTTTGCAGGCTTCTCTAGTTAATCAAGGTTGGTGAACTAACCAAAGATTAACCAACAACATTGAAAAAACATGTGATCCAAGACAAATGTTGGATGACTTTTGGGATTTAACTGAGTACCTCATGCGTCACTAAGTATGTAGTGAATCATTGAGCTTCATCCCTTCTCCAAGTTTCCAGGGCACGAGCAAATAACTACTAACCAACTATACATCACGCCCGGTTCAAACGTATGCACACACACGTCGCTGACAGGATTCGAACCTGTGCGGGGAAACACCAATGAATTTTGAGTCCATCGCCTTAACCTCTCGGCCACAGCACCTGAGCATCAGCTGCAAAACATCAGCTGCAGAACATCAGCTGCAGAACAAATCAAAGGAAGGTTTCTCACCCATCTGTTCTTAGCAGGTTTCTCCGAGGTTTCGTCTTCATCTAAAGGACTTCTTCAGTGGTGGTCTCTCTCTAGACTCTCTCTGGTCTCCCTCTGGTCTCTCTCTAACCTCTCTCTCTAATGATGAATGAATAAAAACACCAGAGCCTGAGGTTAAAACATTTGTAATTTTGTCAAACACTGGTTTTACAGAAATCGGAGGTTGTTTAGAAAATGTGCAGACGACAGCGTGAGTGAGAGCAGCGCGACGACGGAGACGGACTCTTCCAGCCTTCCACCGGTGAATCACACTCATGGGAATTAACGGGAATAAACTGGCCATTTTCAATTTCTTTATGACGCTAATATATCTAGTCTCTCTCTCTGGTCTCTCTCTGGTCTCTCCCACTGGTCTCTCTCTGGTCTCTCTCTGGTCTCTCTCTGGTCTCTCTCTGGTCTCTCTCTGGTCTCTCTCTGGTCTCTCTCTCTGGTCTCTCTCTGGTCTCTCTCTCTGGTCTCTCTCTGGTCTCTCTCTGGTCTCTCTCTGGTCTCTCTCTGGTCTCTCTCTCTGGTCTCTCTCTCTGGTCTCTCTCTGGTCTCTCTCTCTGGTCTCTCTCTCTGGTCTCTCTCTGGTCTCTCTCTCTGGTCTCTCTCTGGTCTCTGGGGCTCTCTCTGGTCTCTCTCTGGTCTCTCTCTGGTCTCTCTCTCTGGTCTCTCTCTCTGGTCTCTCTCTGGTCTCTCTCTGGTCTCTCTCTCTGGTCTCTCTCTGGTCTCTCTCTCTGGTCTCTCTCTGGTCTCTCTCTGGTCCCTCTGGTCTGGTGAGAAACACACTCTAGTCTACAGAAAACTATAAATGGGAATCAACGAGAATAAACCGGCAATTTTCACTGTTTCTTTGTGAAGATAAACATAGAGCTGAAGATTCACTGATCGTGTGCCGTGTTCTCATTATTCCTCTGTAAGCGCTGATGCAACACTGACATTTCCCGACTGTGCGACACAAACAGGATCTCTTCATCTTCATCCTAATAATCTGTTTTTGATTGTTCAGTTTTCCGTGAAGACCGAGCTGCCGCCGGTGTGGAGCTGCCCCAGACGAGCTGCGTGTCCGTCCTGCTCCTCAGAACCAGGTCAGAGCCACAGACAGCCCCCTCATCATCAGTCACTGACCTGGAGCTGTGTTTAGCTCCATCCACGCTAACAGTATTAGCTTCTGGCACATGCTCATCCCCCCACCCCTTCTGTCAAAATCAGAGCTAAAAGATTTTCAACTATTACTCTCTTATTGTGTTGTGTCAATAGGAGCCAGAGCAAAACTCGGGCTCTCTCATTGAGCTAGCAGGTTAGCATTGTCCATCTGTATACACTACACTACGGTCTACAGTCGTACACTATGGACATCCGGAACCTTTTCTTCGACTTCTTCCCTTCCGCACCTTCCTCTTTCCAGTTTATTTGATGAATTACCGTGCATTGTTTTCTCACAACCATTATTTTTCACTTTTCACAATTTTTCAAGAAGTTTAAAATTCATAAACCATCTACAAGTTGAGCTCTTTCCCTCTATAGCGCTAGTTCTCTGGCGCTAGCTGTTAGCCGTTAGCATCACAACTAAACATACATAATTGTAAATACATATAATGGAGAGGTAGCATTTACTCTTTTTGAAAGTGTCCACATCTGATCTTTATGCTTTACTTTTTCCGTCAGGCGATCCGGGAAATTCTGAACCGTCGGCCAATCACAACAGAGGCTACGAGTGCTCGATGTTCCATGTTGTCGCCACGGAGACAGACCCGCCTCCCACCTGTCCGTCAAGTCCAATGTCCTTCACCACATTCAAACCTCAGCACTGACCGTCGACCTCTACATTTCACCACAAACTTTTACACTTTAGACTCGTTACACAGAGGGATGTGGGAATAAAAACACTTTTAAACACTTTTTTGTTTCATTTGGCTTCATTCTAGGATTATCTGAGGTGAGAACGAGGCTGTAGACCCAGGACTGAGGCTGTAGACCCAGGACTGAGGCTGTAGACCCAAGACTGAGGCTGTAGACCTAGGACTGAGGCTGTAGACCCAGGACTGAGGCTGTAGACCCAAGACTGAGGCTGTAGACCCAAGACTGAGGCTGTAGACCCAGGACTGAGGCTGTAGACCCAGGACTGAGAATGTAGACCCAGGACTGAGGCTGTAGACCCAGGACTGAGGCTGTAGACCCAGGACTGAGGCTGTAGACCCAAGACTGAGGCTGTAGACCCAAGACTGAGGCTGTAGACCCAGGACTGAGGCTGTAGACCCAAGACTGAGACTGTAGACCTAGGACTGAGGCTGTAGACCCAGGACTGAGGCTGTAGACCCAGGACTGAGGCTGTAGACCCAGGACTGAGGCTGTAGACCTAGGACTGAGACTGTAGACCTAGGACTGAGGCTGTAGACCCAGGACTGAGGCTGTAGACCCAGGACTGAGGCTGTAGACCCAGGACTGAGGCTGTAGACCCAGGACTGAGGCTGTAGACCTAGGACTGAGACTGTAGACCCAGGACTGAGGCTGTAGACCCAGGACTGAGGCTGTAGACCTAGGACTGAGACTGTAGACCCAGGACTGAGATCCAAAATCATATCAATAACATCACAGTCACTTTCATTAAAATCCCTATCATTACACAAACCTTCCAGCAGATGTCGCTGTTGCACCTCTCAGTCTGTGTATATAGCCCTTTGATATTTCATTCAAACACAAAAATAAGCTAACGTTGAGCTAACATAGAGCTAGCCTGTCTCCTGAGCACCGAGACAAATAGATAAATACATGAGACGACATATTTCAACATTTATTTGGTCAAAAACATCTTTACAAAACTCCATCCATGGAAATAAAGCGCTTGACAAATGGAACCACACGACAACGGTTAGTTTTGGCCCAGAGTTTCCGGACCTTTCCCGGTGCATTTAGCCGCAGACGTCTTCGTTTTCCGCATCAGGCCTCGAGCTCAGCGACGCAGGCTTCATCTTTCATACGCGTTGCCGTGACAACCTCGTCCGGATAAAGCCGCGGTGTAAACTAGCGTAGATGTTGCACTACCCTTTTTTTCCTTTCTGATATGCTTATTGTACGTAGAACCTGAAGAACCTGAGAATGTTTCAGACATACAACCGCTCTCCGGCTCTGACCAAAGTGACTTGAATTCAGGTTTTTACTTTAAACTTGTGTATTTTTGATTGATTCGTTTTCTTTTGGGGCCTGGAGTTTTTCCCTGGTTTGACACAGACTGTTTATGAGAAGTGGACTGATCAATAGTGACCGTAACGTTAGCCTTAAGCTAGCTGCAGCCAATTTAATGATATGGGCATTTGTTCTGACGGTGTTAGCTTAGCACCGTAACATGAGCAGGTGAGTTGCTAACATGGTTGCTATGGAAATTTGGAATTTCCCCCACGAATGGCTCATATCTGGATTTAACAAAAATGAAACTTCAGGATCACAGAGAACTCTAAACAACAGATGTTTTAAGCCCGGTTTTGTTACTTTTCAGAATATTTGTCCATGAGCACTTTCCTACTAGGCTTCGATAAGCTAGCATGTTAGCATTGTCCATCTGTATACAGTCTATGGTTTGAAGACATTTCTGACCAGGCATAAAAAACAAGTGATAGACGCTAACATGGACTTTAATATATTATTTTTTGCGGCTTGAAAGTTAGCTAGCCCAGCTTTAAGAAATTATGGAAAAATTAAGATATAGACCGTCGATCAAGGAGCTAAAAAGGGCCTGAAGTTTGGTCCTCTGCTGTAGTCTCTTTAATGTATTATGTATTAATTATCGTGGCCAAATTAGGAAAAATGACTAAAAACGAACTAAAACTAACCGGAAAGTGAAGGCCACAGACTAAAGCTGGGAGTCGCTTAAAGTGGTTCTCACCCCCGCTCCTCGGAGCTTACGTCACTCACATTTCCTGTTCAAATCTTCCTCTAAATGGGCGTGGCCTGGAGGACTAAAGGGGGCGTGAACGAGACTGGGCCGTTTACATTGCTCTGGGCGGGGGGCTGCTGACGTCAGGTCTTGCTTCAGACGTCAGGTCTTGCTGCTGTGCCAGTGTTGGCGCCAGATTCAAAATTCAAATGTAGTAATACAAGTGGCCTGCAGATGGCGCCTCACAGACGGTTTTAGGCAGAAATTTGCACCAAAGTGACAAGCTTATGACCAGGATATGTAGACAACACTATTGGACACTCATTTATACCGTTTATCAGCAAAAAAAAGTGGATTTAAGGGTGAGTATTTAAGTATTTGTTTGAGTGATTTGGGAAACTTGATCCAGTCTAGTTTAGGCACCGATAGTTTAAGTTTATGTGAACAGCAGCTGTGGCAGTATTGTAATAAAGTAGAGTTTTTTGTGGGACAGTTTTCCAGGAGGTTTGGAAGAAACAGAAACAAATTCAAGTCATTTTAATCCATCCAGAGACACACTTTTGTTGTAACTTATTCTACTCTTGAATGTGAAAAACACAGGACAGAACACATGAACGAATGCCCGCTCTTCTTTACAAGACAATTTTAGAGCAAGAACCCTGCATCAGAATGAGTTAAAATCACCAGTTATGAATTCATAGAGGAGACCAGAGAGACTCGGAGGAGATCAGAGAGAGACTAGAAGGAGACCAGAGAGAGAGCAGTAAGAGAGACCAGAGAGAGAGCAGTAAGAGAGACCAGAGAGAGACTAGGAGGAGACCAGAGAGAGAGAGCAGTAAGAGAGACCAGAGAGAGACTAGGAGGAGACCAGATAGAGAGTAGTAAGAGAGACCAGAGAGAGACTAGAAGGACACCAGAGAGAGAGCAGAAAGAGAGACCAGAGAGAGAGAGCAGTAAGACAGACCAGAGAGAGACTAGAAGGACACCAGATAGAGAGCAGTAAGAGAGACCAGAGAGAGACTAGAAGGACACCAGAGAGAGAGCAGAAAGAGAGAGCAGAGAGAGAGCAGTAAGAGAGACTAGGAGGAGACCAGAGAGAGAGAGCAGTAAGAGAGACCAGAGAGAGACTAGGAGGAGACCAGAGAGAGAGAGCAGTAAGAGAGACCAGAGAGAGACTAGGAGGAGACCAGAGAGAGAGAGCAGTAAGAGAGACCAGAGAGAGACTAGGAGACCAGAGAGAGAGAGCAGTAAGAGAGACCAGAGAGAGACTAGGAGGAGACCAGAGAGAGAGAGCAGTAAGAGAGACCAGAGAGAGACTAGGAGGAGACCAGAGAGAGAGAGCAGTAAGAGAGACCAGAGAGAGACTAGGAGACCAGAGAGAGAGAGCAGTAAGACAGACCAGAGAGAGACTAGAAGGACACCAGATAGAGAGCAGTAAGAGAGACCAGAGAGAGACTAGAAGGACACCAGAGAGAGAGCAGAAAGAGAGACCAGAGAGAGAGAGCAGTAAGACAGATTAGAGAGAGACTAGGAGGAGACCAGAGAGAGGGAGACTAAAGAAAGAGACCACCAAGAGACCGGAGAAAGACCAGAAGGAAACCACAGAAAGACCAGAAAGAGACTAGAATCCAGAGCCGATAATCTGACTCATTTAGACAAAGAAGCTAGAACGAAAGTGATTTGAACTCATCCGGAGCCGCTCTTTGCCGTGAGTCTAGTCCAACAATTCTCATATATTCCTTCATTTTCCGTGTTACAGGTTAAATATTGTCGATGCAAAAGTCTTTTCTAAATGAATGTTTTTGACAGTTCTGTGTGAGAACAGTAGAATCAGCACACGCCCAGTTTGAAGGGAACAAAGTCAGAATATTATGCATGTTTGAAACCAGGCTGCAGCATTGTCCCATCATCAAAAGCACCTGTATCTTTAAGAGTACCGGTAGTTCTTTACAAGCTGCCTTTTGTGTTGAGAAAGCAGTGAACCATCTCCCTCTGGTGGTAGAAAAGGGGTATTGCATGGACTATATTTAATGTCTTATATACAGGTTTATCCATGTGTTTATCTACATGTTCTAAAACCTGAAATAACAAGAGAGAGATCAGAGAGAGAGGAGTAAGAGAGACCAGAGAGAGACTAGAAGAAGACCAAAGAGAGAGAGAGAGGGCAGCTAGAGAGACCAGAGAGAGATACTAAAGAGAAATGCCATAAAAGAGACCAGAGAGGGACCAGTCAGAGGACAGAGGGAGAGCAGTAAGAGACTAGAAGGAGACAGGAGAGAGAGAGAGAGAGACTAAAGACCAGAGGCCACCAAGAGACCAGTGAAAGACCATAAAGAGACTAGATGGCTCTCAGACCAGAGAGACAGACTAGAAGGAGACCAGAGAGACTAAAGAGAAAGACCAGAGAGACAGACTAGAAGGAGACCAGAGAGACTAAAGAGAAAGAACAGAGACCACAAAGAGACCAGTGAGAAATCAGAGACTAGAGGGAGACCAGGGAGGGAGAGAGACCAGAGAGAAAGCCTAGAGAACAGAGAGAAACCGCTTCTAGAAACCTTGAGGAGAAAATATCTAGACCATAGTTGGAACATTGTGATGTCCCACGATCGCAGCCCATCGTCAGGTTTCAGGTCCAGAACTCATGCATAATATTTCTTCTTTGGATTCAATCTCTTTGGATCAGAAATGTCATGTTTGAGTGAGCTGGGAGTGTGCTGGTGTTCTACTGTATGACCTGGTAGACCCACCTGGTCCTCACATGGTCCTCCTGCCCCTCCCCTGAGCCCTCGGTCTCTGTCGGCTTCTGCACGTCAAAGCTCAAGCGTTTTTTTCCCTTCACTTCAGTGTCAACTAAAACCCTTTTGAAGAATTCAATAGTCGATGGTCCCTGCTCTCCTCCTGGTCCCTTTTCCTCCTCGATAGCGAGCTACACTGAAAGAGAGAAAGAGGATTTTATTTATTTATATAGCACGTCTCATACATGTACTGCAGCTCAGGGCGCTCCAACTAATAATCAAGCAGCAACGGGGGGGAAAAAAATGGAAAAATAATGTGATAAAATCTTTCCAACTCGCTCTGGTTTGGGTCTGGGTCTACAGCCTCAGTCCTGGGTCTACAGCCTCAGTCCTGGGTCTACAGTCTCAGTCCTGGGTCTACAGCCTCAGTCCTGGGTCTACAGCCTCAGTCCTGGGTCTACAGCCTCAGTCCTGGATCTACAGCCTCAGTCCTGGGTCTACAGCCTCAGTCCTGGATCTACAGCCTCAGTCCTGGATCAACAGCCTCAGTCCTGGGTCTACAGCCTCAGTCCTGGGTCTACAGCCTCAGTCCTGGATCAACAGCCTCAGTCCTGGGTCTACAGCCTCAGTCCTGGGTCTACAGCCTCAGTCCTGGATCAACAGCCTCAGTCCTGGGTCTACAGCCTCAGTCCTGGGTCTACAGCCTCAGTCCTGGATCTACAGCCTCAGTCCTGGATCTACAGCCTGAGTCCTGGATCTACAGCCTCAGTCCTGGGTCTACAGCCTCAGTCCTGGATCTACAGCCTCAGTCCTGGATCAACAGCCTCAGTCCTGGGTCTACAGCCTCAGTCCTGGGTCTACAGCCTCAGTCCTGGATCTACAGCCTCAGTCCTGGATCTACAGCCTGAGTCCTGGATCTACAGCCTCAGTCCTGGATCTACAGCCTCAGTCCTGGATCTGGACTCACCGAGACGTGGCTGGGTGCGTGCGTGTTTTACTGATCCTTCTCTTTGGCGGCGGCGGCGGCGGCCATCTTCTTGGACTTGTTGGTGATGTAGGCCTCGTAGAAGAACTGGACGAAGAGCACGAAGTAGCTGAGGTACATGAGGGAGGACCAGACGATGTTCTCCACGTGGGAGGGGCAGGCCTGGCCCTGCTGCATCCACGAGTACACCAGGTAGTTGACCACGCAGCCCATCAGCATCTGCGTGATCTGCGTCAGCGTGATGAACATGGCAAACTTACGGGACACCTGAAGAGGAAGAGGAGGGCCCGGGTCACAGAGAGTGGTCTGGAGGTGGGGAGAGCTGAGGAGGCTAATGCTGGAGGAGCTAGCGATCTTTATTGTAGAGCAAAAAACAATCCTAGTCAGATATCCATAAACACAATAACATTCATAATAATAAATACATCCATCCATTTTCTTCCCCTTCGTCCATTTATGGGTCGAGGGAAATTCACGGAATAACAGCCCCTAAAAAAATCAGAGAGAGAGACTAGAGAAGGACCAGAGAGAGAGACCAGAGAGAGAGACCAGAGAGAGACCGGAGAGAGACCAGAGAGAGAGACAAGAGCGAGACCAGAGAGAGACCAGAGAGAGAGACAAGAGCGAGACCAGAGAGAGACCAGAGAGAGACCAGAGAGAGACTAGAGAGAGACCAGAGAGAGAGACCAGAGAGAGACCAGAGAGAGAGACAAGAGCGAGACCAGAGAGAGAGACAAGAGAGAGACCAGAGAGAGACCAGAGAGAGAGACAAGAGAGAGACCAGAGAGAGAGACAAGAGAGAGACCAGAGAGAGACCAGAGAGAGACCAGAGAGAGAGACAAGAGCGAGACCAGAGAGAGACCAGCGAGAGACCAGAGAGAGACCAGAGAGAGACCAGAGAGAGACCAGAGAGAGAGACAAGAGCGAGACAAGAGAGAGGCCATTTTTTTGCAATGGCCATGGTGTGCCATTTTTGAAAGACTGACAGTTCCCTGAGGAGAACACAAAACACACAACAGCTCTGACACAGACACACAACAGCTCTGACACAGACACACAACAGCTCTGACACAGTCACACAACAGCTCTGACATAGACACACAATAGCTCCGACATAGACACACAACAGCTCTGACATAGACACACACAACAGCTCTGACACAGACACACACAGCTCTGACACAGACACACAACATTAAAGGAGACCTTGAAGCCCGCGGCCCTCAGGGCGTAGTAGGAGTACATGACGGCGTGCACCAGGTAGTTCATGGTCATGAACCAGCCGCCGCCCGCCACCATGTCCTTGTAGGAGTACCAGGAGTACAGCAGCACCGTGATGTGGTGGTACCAGTGCAGGAAGATCAGCTTCTGTTTCCGCAGCACGATGAACAGAGTGTCCCCTGCACAGAAGAAGAGGAGGAGGGAGAGGAAGAGGAAGAGGGAAAGAGGAAGAGGGGGAGGAAGAGGAAGAGTGAGTTTATTTATATGGCACAGTTCACACACGAGGAACTCAAAGGTTTAACAGAACAAGAGAGATTGGACAGATGGACTCATGAGTAACACACATGGTCACACACACAGAAACACACATGGTCTCTGCGACCACCGCTGCGACCACCTCTGGGACCACCTCTGGGACAGCCTCTGGGACCACCTCTGGGACAGCCTCTGGGACCACCTCTGGGACAGCCTCTGGGACCACCTCTGGGACAGCCTCTGGGACCACCTCTGGGACAGCCTCTGGGACCACCTCTGGGACAGCCTCTGGGACCACCTCTGGGACAGCCTCTGGGACCACCTCTGGGACAGCCTCTGGGACCACCTCTGGGACGCTCTGGGACAGCCTCTGGGACCACCTCTGCGACCGCTTGGGACAGCCTCTGGGACCCTCTGCGACGACCTCTGGGACAGCAGCTCTGGGACCACCTCTGGGACAGCCTCTGGGACCACCTCTGGGACAGCCTCTGGGACCACCTCTGGGACAGCCTCTGGGACAGCCTCTGGGACCACCTCTGGGACAGCCTCTGGGACAGCCTCTGGGACCACCTCTGGGACCACCTCTGGGACAGCCTCTGGGACCACCTCTGGGACCACCTAAATCCTTTCTTTAACACACTTTTATCAGATTGCTGTTCTGTAGCTGTGTGTTTTAAACTCTACATGTGTTTTCTCTTCCACATGGTCTTTCTTGTCGTCTGTCGGCTTTAATCTCTGTATTATGACTATGATTGATTGACTGATTATTTTTATTGCTTTATGCCGACGGTACAGCGCTTTGTAAACACATTTTTTTTTTGTGTAGCAAAAAAGATTAGTTATTATCAGAGGTGGGACAAAGTCATTGTTTAGCAAGTCACAAGTCAGTCTCAATTCATTGACCTCAAGTCCCGAGTCAAGTCACGAGTCAAGACAGGCAAGTCCCGAGTCGAGTCCAAGTCAAAGGCCAACAAATCTCAAGTCAGTCCCAAGTCCTACGGTTTGACTTTCGAGTCCTCTCGAGTCTTTTTGACCGCGATTTGTTTCTTGTTGGTCTCCACGTACTTTTGTAGGCAAACAAAATAATGTTAGGAATCATTTTGCTGGTGCATTCTCGTTGGTCTCTGACCCATGGACTAACAGTTTGTTCCATGTGGTTGGCTGCTGGTAAATCAAAACTATGTTGTGCCAGATGCAGGCTCAGTTACACATGCACAGACCACACATAAAATCAGAGCAGTCCGTGTCAACATACTTTTTATTTTTGGGGTTTTTAATGGGAAGTAGCAAGTGCAGCATATATGAATATGAGTATTGGGCTAGGACCTGTATCTATATAATCAGTTTAATGTCCGTAGTGGTTATTGTTCCAAAGGACTGAAGGGACCAATGGCGGGGAAGGAACCTGGCCTGTATGAACTGGGCCAGCATTAGTAATATCTCATAATTACCAATATATCATTACATAATAAAATGTCTCATATAAATTAATTCAATCAGTCAAAGCACTGATTCTCATATCAATGAACCATAAACAATAGTGCAAATATTAATCTAGCTTAGTGCACATAATCAAAACAACTATCTAATGTATGCAAACTTTAGCAGGAGGAGCACAGCAAAAACATACTCATAATAATAGGCCTCGGCGCCCACACAGAAAAATATAAGAAAGAGCTAACAGAGCAGCGCAGGCTAGCGCTAGTTTGACTCACCAGTTCCTCTTTAAAACACGGCACACAGTGTGACAACTGCGTCGATTCAATTGTATGAGGCGCCTGTAGTGAAAGCATATCAATTACGGTTTGTAGAACAAAATATGACGTTAGGTCGCGATAAATACCTGCAGCTCGCTCATTTCCAGCTCCCCTAGACAACACACCCACCGGTGAATGCAGTCCGCTTGTTTAGGGAAGTGTTGCTGCGCGAACTGCCTGGAACTCACGTTCGAACTCTCGCGCGAGCGCTACAACTACCGCGAGGCTTTGTTTCTTCAGAGACGGCAGGCCTGTCGCAAGGGGGGTGCGAGGCCCTGTGCGAACTTGAAACGCGAGGCCCTGCCCTGACACCTTTTTCCCAGATCTCAGGAAAGTTTTTCATGTTATAATATTTGACATGAATTCAGCACCGCCTCGCGCTGTGCGTGAAGAGATCAGCACGCGCGCAGACGTGTGTCCTCGCTCCAATGCAGCGTCGCACGCACACACGCACGCACCCACACACAAACTGTTACCGCGCTTGGCATTGGTATATTGGTCGCGGTCTTTTTAGCTGACATGGCTCTTTCGTCCTGTGGCAAAATGGCAGCAACTCAAAAGATTGAACCAAAAGGAGTCTTCTTCTTTTTCTAATTGTTAGATTACGGCAAAATGCGCCAAAATGGCTATGAGGCGGAGTCAATATTTGTTATTTTTTTCCTCATCAAATAACGTTTTTGCCATGCCTCCACACTCACAACATACGCTCCTTCTCCTGCTCCTCCTCCTCCACACACTCTGACCACATTTTTATGCCCAAAATCCACTGCACTCACAGTAGCATGAACGTTGGACATACAGTGTTTGCTAATGCTTTTATAATATGTTTTTGATGTGGATATTCGGGCTCAACATTGACAATAACAGCGCTCACACACCTGTTTCGCAGCTCCTCCTCTTCCTCCTCTGGTCACACTCCTCTCTCCTCCTCCTCATACGGAAGACGCGAGTATCCATCTCTCCGTACACTGGGCTCATTCCCGTTACTTTCTTCACTCAGACACTGCTAAAGTTATCTGACAGCTCCGTAAAGTTTTTTTTTGGAGGACCCGCTGCGTAGATAGCTGCCCTCGCGCCTGCCTGTTTACAAATCGCTTTTGGTGAAAATTTGACTTCACTTGTAATAATGTACTTTTGAACAAAAGAAATCAGAGGTCCAGAGAAAGGGGATTAGGGGTCCGAATTTGGAGCGCAGTCCGCCCTTTGGGGACTCTTGAACTAGTATATTTATTTAATAAAAAAAAAAAAAAAGGAAGGATTGCGAGGCCCTGTGTGGTGCGAGGCCCTGTGCGACGGCACAGGTCGCACAGCCCTTCCGACGGGCCTGAGAGACGGCATAGATAGAAAGAGAGATGCGGAGAAAGGTAAAAATGGCCCGGGTTACGCAAGTCTTTGCAAGTCAATTGGCGCAAGTCCAAGTGAAAGTCAGAGTCATTGATGTTAAAGTCCAAGTCGAGTTGCAAGTCTTTTTATATTTGGTCAAGTCGAGTCTAAAGTCATCAAAATCATGACTCGAGTCTGACTCGAGTCCAAGTCACATGACTCGAGTCCACACCTCTGGTTATTATTATAATATTATTTGACCTTCAGCAGCACAAAGACACTCTACTGCCTCTGACCTACATCTACAACAGCAGCAGCAGTAACAGCAGAAGCAGCAGCAGCATCAGCAGCAGTAACAGCAGCAGCAGTAGTAGCAGCAGTAGCAGCAGCAGCAGCAGCAGCAGTAGTAGCAGCAGTAGCAGCAGCAGCAGCAGCAGCAGCAGCAGCTTTAAATAACTGTTCTTTTATTGTGCTGTTGTGTCCCAGGCTGTGACAGACGCAGTGGGGACTGTGTGAATGTGTGTGGTCCGACTGAGGACCAGGTCTGTGTCTGCAGCCCGGGGTTCTCTCTCAGTAAACATGGAGACTACTGTGAAGGTGAGTCTGAAACACACTTTAGAGTTAGTGGTTCTGTTGGCACCCCCTCTGCTGCTCTCTGCTCTGTTAGAGTCACTGTTATTGTCGCTCTGGATTTGTTGAATTGAAATGGTCACACACACAGTCCCACACATGGTCACACACAAAGTAACACACATGGTCTCACACACACATGGTCTCAAACACATGGTGCCATACCCAGCTCGGGGGCCTTGCTGAGGACGAAGGCGTAGGCCCAGAACTTGCTGACGGGTCCGTTGTAGAAGCTCTGGTCACAGACCGACTGCTTCAGTCCTTTGGTCATGAGGATGAAGGTCATGTAGCTCCCGGTGCGGACGGCGCCAAAGATGCTGCACACACCGACACACACCGACACACACACCGACACACACACAAGGACACACACTCTCAGCATTTAGCTTTTTATACGTATATTTCTATGTTCATTTACATACTTATTAATATCTTTAATTATACAATTTATTATCCATCCAGTGTGACAAGTGTGAAGTGTGGGTGGTTTTAGTGTGTGTAGTTTGCTTCAATGTTAAGAGACAAACACACACACACACAGAGAGACACACACGCCGACACAGAGAAAGAGAGACACACCCACACACACACACACACACAGAGAGACAAACACACACACACAGACACACATGTACCTGAAGACAGCGTGTGTGAGGGACCAGAGCACCAGGCCACACACACAGACAGACAGAGACACACACACAGACACACACACAAACAGACACAGACACACACACACACAGGTACCTGAACACAGCCAGTGTGAGGGACCAGAGCACCAGGGGCCTCCTCAGCTCAAACTTCTCTCTCTGCTTCATGACGTGACGACCTCCGAGGATCACGGCCGCGTACAGAGCAGCGTACAGGAAAGACTTCTTCCTACAACACACAAACACAACATGTTCAGTTTTACAATCAAACAAGAAACAGACAGAGACACACACAGAGAGAGAGAGAGAAAGAGAAAGAGAAAGAGAGAGAGAGACAGACACAGAGAGATGAGGGAGACAGAGAGAGAGAGAGAGACACACACACACACAGAGAGAGACAGACAGAGACACACACAGAGAGAGAGAGAGAAATAGAAAGAGAGACAGAGAGAGACAGACACAGAGAGATGAGGGAGACAGAGAGAGAGAGAGAGACACACACACACACACACACACAGAGAGAGACAGACAGAGACAGAGAGAGAGAGACAGACAGAGAGACAGACACAGAGAGATGGAGAGAGACAGAAACAGAGATAGATAGAGAGAGAGAGAGAGACAGACAGAGAGACAGACACAGAGAGATGGAGAGAGACAGAGAGAGAGGCCCCAGCTCCGAAGTCTATTGCAAATTCAACTCTATTTCAATTTTAATTCCATTAATTCTTGTATGGCCCTGAACCACAGCAGGAGTCGTCTCGGGCTTTACAAAGTTGTGGATTCACACACAACAGATCAGAGAATCACACACAGACAACACACACAGGGTCCATATATGGGACGACCACTGTGCAGAAAAGTCCAAGTTCAAGATCAGCTTCATATTCTATAACTGCATTCTCCTTGGTCTGGCCCTGGTCTCGCCCCTGGTCTCGCCCCTGGTCTCGCCCCTGGTCTCGCCCCTGGTCTCGCCCCTGGTCTCGCCCCTGGTCTCGCCCCTGGTCTCGCCCCTGGTCTCGCCCCTGGTCTCGCCCCTGGTCTCGCCCCTGGTTTCGCCCCTGGTCTCGCCCCTGGTCTCGCCCCTGGTCTCGCCCTCGGGCCTGGTCTCGGGCCTGGTCTCGGGCCTGGTCTCGGGCCTGGTCTCGGGCCTGGTCTCGGGCCTGGTCTCGCCCCTGGTCTCGCCCCTGGTCTCGCCCCTGGTCTCGCCCCTGGTCTCGCCCCTGGTCTCGCCCCTGGTCTCGGCTCTGGTCCTGGTCTCGGCCTGGTCTCGGCTCTGGTCCTGGTCTCGGCCCTGGTCCTGGGTCTCGGCCCTGGTCCTGGTCTCGGCCCTGGTCCTGGTCTCGGCCAAGGTCTCGGCCCTGGCTGCTTCCAGGAATCCATTGGAGCCGTGGTGCGACCTCACAGGGCGGCTCCATGTTCCGACGTCACAGAGACTCGGCCGTTGTGTTTCCGGAACATTCAGGATCAGGGCAACAGCAGAGACGCACGTGCTTTTACTCAATATATGTATAAAAAAACCTGAATATCCAGAATAATACAGCAGCAAACAGGAAAACATCCAGGTCGGTTTTTCTTGCTTTTTCAATAATAATGAAACTATAATATTAAACTGACCCTGACCCTATGATGAGACCAACACACACCATTTGGTTAAATCAAAGCAGATGCAAATATAAATAGTTGTACAGATTTGTGCACGGGTTCTCACATATTACTGCTGCATTTGTGAGTAGGACGTAAGACATGTTTATTTATATAGCGCCTTTCACAGACCAGAGACACCAAGCACTTTGTCTCTCCCTCCACACAGAGAAGGGAGCGGCACATGCCAGATCTATCATACATGTTTTTACTGGTAGGGGAAACCGGAGCACACGGAGGAAACCTAAATAGACAAGGGGAGAACATGCAAACTCCACACAGAAAGGTCTGGAGGTGAAATCAAACCCAGGACCTTCTCGCTGTGAAGAACCAGCGCTAATTACTATCGAAAAATATGTTTCTACGTCAAAACTTTTTGGTCTCAAAGTCTGTTCACATCATTATTCAATCACTCCAAAAAAAAATACTGTAGCCACAGCTGCCCTGGGGCACACTGACAGAAGCGAGGCAACCAGTCTGTGCCATCGGCCCCTCCCACCACCACCACCAACCATTCACACACACCAGACTCATTCTAATGTGGGGGAAGTGTCTTGCCTAAGGACACAACCACAGCCGCTCCACTGTGGCACCTGGCGTTCACAGAGGTCTCCCATTTTACTGTTTCATGACATGGCGCCCAACGTGGGGCCGTTGGGAAGATCTGCATAAGCAGAGGAAGCCCTAAGAGCCGGCCTCAAGAACTGGGAGCCCGGAGAAGGAGCTACATAAATTGTTGTGTAAAACAGAGAAGAGAAGTGGATTGAGTCAAAGGAAGACGATCCACTTGGGGTGAGTTTTGTGTACAGCAGAAGTGACACTGATGCCGTTTTTCCACGGTCCGAGTACGGTACGTTTTGACTCTACACGGCGCGCCATGGCCCAGTTCGCGTGCTTTTCCATCAAAAATAGTACCCCCAGTATGTCCTCAGCGTTGTCAGACCACGTCATTTACGTGTGACGCGTAACTAGTACTGGTGCGGTGCATGGATTTATTATAATACCAGAGCAAGTGTTTAATAGAAAATTCAGCACAGCACGAGTAGTTTTTGAAAATGCTTATGTCTTAAAAGAATGACTCAGAAACTGTGAAGTCAATGGTGCTGACTGCTCTGTACAATCTGAATGGACCTGTAGCAACAGCAGCCTGTGTAGCAGAGGAGGAGGGCTGCATGTCCGAGGATACTGCTAGGCTATAGCTAATGCTAGCGCTAGCTCGAGACTCAGCTCACTCACTAACCCTGGATTCCAAAGCTACTACTGTACAACACTTAACACATCTATCACTGCCATCAGAGGAGGATCCGGGGTTTAAACTCGTCATATGGCAACTCGAGCAGTAAAGGACCAGGGAGAGACGGCGGCAGCCATAGGGGTAGCGAGTTAGCGGCTAAGCTAGGCTAAGCTAGGCTAGTCCGGACTCGGGTCCGGACTACAGCAGACTCCGAGACCAGACAAACAATCGATACCCAAACCTCAGATACAATAATAATAAATGAATGAAACATTGTCTTGGGATACAATCACAGATTTATTGAAAACAAAAGTAAAGTAAAGTAAAGTAAGCCCCCACTGAAAGATCAAGGCTATGCTCACAGTCAGAGAGCAGCCGTCCTCCTGTGGACTCACCACCTGCAGAGGGTCAGTGAGGGGCTGGTGCTATGCGACTTGGGTGGCATCTCTGACTGCCACCCCCCTGACCCAGAAATGGATTAAAGGGTAGAAAATGGATGGATGGACAAAAGTAAAGTGCAAAACCAACAGAGTTTACAACGTCGTATGTCAGAGACCAGGTCCAGACCAGGTCCAGACCAGGTCCAGACCAGAATACTCCGGTCACCCATTGTTCGTTGGTAATCTCCACACTTATGGGAAGGGATTCTCATACAAATATACACACAACAACTTAAATACAAGCACAAAACAGAATGACAACACGTGAATACTGCAGATAATACGAGATAAAACACAGTAGCACAGGGAGGACGTTAGCTTAGCTGCTATCGATAGCTAAATGAAGCTAAATGTAGCTAGCTCACTGTGTACAACAGACAATCAAACATGTACACAGTAAATACATTTCAGTGAGAGCTTTAGGGGATTTGTATTTAACCAGTTATTTCCAGGATTACCACAGACTAGTAACAAATCCAGAGCTGGTGATCTCCTGAAAACTGTGTTGAGCCTCGAGCTGCCTTTGAATTCTTTCTTTGGCCTGAAGAGAGGAACGTGTGGACCTCTTCCACCGACCAGGACCAGGACTTTTGGGGCTTTCTGTGCAATTCCATTTCTCTGGAGTGAGAAGGACGTAATGTAGCCGAAGCAGAGCCGAGCAGAGCAGCCTGTTTTAAAGATGGCGGTTGAGTTGTTTTTTCCCAAAGGATCAGATGCCGCTTCCAGTGACGACACTCGTTGACCAATCAGTGTAAGGCAGTGGGCCGGCGTGACGTCATGGCACGGGTACTATGGGGATGGAACCACGGCTGAGGCAGTACGGAAAAGTACGCAAATCTCCCATTCCATCCACTAGTGGAAAAGCAAAATAGGTGCGCCGTACTGTACCGAAATGAACTGAACTGACACTGTGGAAAAACGGCATAAATCATCTCGGCCTGGGCCTGTGAGAAAACAGAGCCAGGAAGTGTTCCAGTGAGACCTGTGTCCCTTCACCCAGGAGAAGGGACACAGAGTGCTGGCCATTTGAGACCCAGGAGCTGAATCCTCGGGCCGAATTCTGACGAGAAGGGCCTTGGGCAAGAAGCTCAACTCAAATACCAAGAATACAGAAGACTCAAGAAGAGGAAGTGAAGAAGAGAATGGAGAAACAGAGCAGAGAAGCGTCTGTGACCGCAGAAGAGCGGCCCGCAGAAGAGCGGCCCGCAGAAGAGCGGCCCGCAGAAGAGCGGCCCGCAGAAGAGCGGCCCGCAGAAGAGCGGCCCGCAGATGAGCGGCCCGCAGATGAGCGGCCCGCAGAAGAGCGGAGAGAATGAAGTAACACACACAAATATTGCTGGAGGAGAGACAGTGGAGACACGGTCCCTGGGTGTCAGTTACCATCTGATTCCTTGGGGAGGCGGATGGGACACCTGGGAGCCAGTAGTACGAAAACATGTGACAGAAAGATGTCCTCAGCTCGAGGACAGAAAAATATATGAAGAAATAAAACGACACTGTAATGAAGCGAAGACATTTCTCACTCCTGTGGTTGAAAATAAAATCGCAGGGACGGTTGTGCCGTCCCCAAAATACGGAAGTGACAAAAAGAACATCAGAATATGGATTGAATGGGCTTTACAGGGACTGGTGATTGGAGCGGGCGACCCAACCAGGCCCTGTCCTGCTTAGCTCAGTAATATTATTTCTATGCACAAATAGAGCACATTGAACGAGGTTGTAGTGACCTGCGATACACTTTAGAAACTGTATTAACACTAACGAAGCAGAACACAGATTGCATGGTTTCCTGACAGTATTTCCTCCTGGTGCTCCATCTTGTCTTTAATGTAATAAAGCTGCTCCAACAGTTAATACAATCAGTGAGAAATTAGAGCGAGAGGGGGCGTGCAAACATACAGCCTCAGTCCTGGGTTTTGCCCCTATGTCCTAGTGCCCGGTCTGCGTGGTGCTCGGCCCCTCCCCCGGTGTGCACAGAGGATTTGCATTAGCTGCTCCTGACACCTGTTGCATAAGGCTGAGGATGAGTCGGCAAAGCTGCAGGAGCCAAAGCTTAAGCCGCAGCGAGACACACTTTTGACACTGCCCCCGACAGGTTGCGCTGTTGGTCTGTGATTGTGTTTGGGTTTTGGCACAAGATGCAACTGTAGAGCGGGAAATGTAGAGAAGGGAAAGGTCCAAAGATACAGTTTTATTCTGAAAGTTCTTTCTACTGAACATCAAGTATGTGTTTGTGAATATTGGCACCACTTCTAGACACCTTTATGAGAAAATTAGACCTTAGTTGTCCAGAGAGAGACCAGGGAGAGACAGAGAGACCAGAGACCGACCAGAGAGAGACCAGAGAGAGACCAGAGAGAGCGACCAGAGAGAGCGACCAGAGAGAGACCAGAGAGAGACCAGAGAGAGACCAGAGAGAGACCAGAGAGAGACCAGAGAGAGACCAGAGAGAGACCAGAGAGAGACTAGAGAGAGACCAGAGAGAAACAAGAGAGAGACCAGAGAGAGACCAGAGAGACCAGAGAGACCAGAGAGAGACCAGAGAGAGACCAGAGAGAGACCAGAGAGAGACAAGAGAGAGACAAGAGAGAGACCAGAGAGAGACCAGAGAGACCAGAGAGAGACCAGAGAGACCAGAGAGACCAGAGAGAGACCAGAGAGAGACCAGAGAGAGACCAGAGAGAGACCAGAGAGAGACCAGAGAGACCAGAGAGACCAGAGAGAGACCAGAGAGAGACCAGAGAGAGACCAGAGAGAGACCAGAGAGAGACTAGAGAGAGACCAGAGAGAGACCAGAGAGAGACCAGAGAGAGACAAGAGAGAGGACCAGAGAGGCCAGAGAGGCCAGAGAGAGAGACCAGAGAGAGACCAGAGAGAGACTAGAGAGAGACTAGAGAGAGACCAGAGAGAGACCAGAGAGACCAGAGAGACCAGAGAGAGACTAGAGAGAGACCAGAGAGAGACCAGAGAGAGACCAGAGAGAGACCAGAGAGACCAGAGAGAGACCAGAGAGATCCCAATAGAGAGAGTCCTCTAAACTGATCACTACAATGCAAACAAGCCACAATAGTGTTGACTTTAAATAAACGTAACTGGTGTTTTACAAGCCGTTTTATGATGTTAAAGTAAACACACACACTTTTAGAAAACCACACAAGATTAACACACAAAAATCTACAAAGAACAAGGTCAGGGAAGCATACCCGCAATATAGTGAGAAACCACGGTGTATGACAATATACAACACATTTCCAAAATACTCTAAAACTATTTGATGATTTTGTTTTAGTTACACATCACCGACACTTTTCTTTTCTGGTATTTTTGGTTTGATTCTGAAGGAGTTTGAGAGTTGTGCAAACACGACACTAATGGTTGTTGCGACTAACCAGCCGCGGCTGTAACCGGACTCGTCTCTGTGGAGATCAGCAGCGTCCGTGGACAGAGTACGCCTGTGTTTACGTCTCAGAGTCACACAGAGACAAGAGAGCTCAAAGCACCTGTGTCCACTACAGCCGTCAGTACAAGGAGACAGACGACAAGACAGACACTCAGAAGACGCCATTTTGTTTTCAGCCTTTCAAAACAGTTGAAGCTACAGACAGATTCAGCATATTTGCTATTTGCAGTAAAACCACATTGGAGTACATGTGCAAGAGCCCCCAGTACATGCATACATACATAAAACAAGCTAACAAAGTACCAGAAACAACCATCACTGAGACCTCGATCGACAAAAACAGTTTGAGTACAAGTGCAAGATCTTAACCCTTTAACATTCACCCATTTTTGGATTTTCTAAGACGTATAACGCAAATAATTTGTTTTTTGAACCCCTCTTTTTGTTTTATTACAGGCCTTTACCAAATGGTTGAGATGCAGTTTGATGTAAAAGTGAGATGCCCCAAAGAGTTAGACTTCAGTTCAAGTTTCAAGTATATAGAGATGTGTTTTGAAAGACTAATAATGTCATGGTCGAGGGTTATTTCCTGTTTTATTTTGTAATCTGCTACTCTCCGTGTCTCTAGTTGTACTTCCTGTTGTTTGATGACCTGCCCCGCCCTCATCTGTATTACCTCTGTCTTGTTGTCTTGTATTCAGCCCTGTGTGTTCTGTTTCGGCTCTGTCCTCGGTTCCCTGTGTTTTTTTCTGGATCGTAATACTTTCTATTAAATCCATTATTTTGCAGTTTAGTATTTTGGGCCTGCTTATTTTTTCACTCCACGTGACTGAGAACAGGTATCGCATAACAATAGCATCCTAGAAACCGCTGTGATGGAAAGTACAGACACCCAGCTGAGCAGTCTTACAGCCACTGGGTCCATACAAGGTCAAAAATGCAGAAATACACAATTTGTTCAGTTCAAAAGTTGCATAATGCACCTTTAAATGCCAGAAGTAATGCAAAATATGTCCTGCTCCACCCAGAGGCTACTCCACCTCTGCTGCTGTGACCTGTCCTGCTCCACCCAGAGGCTACTCCACCTCTGCTGCTGTGACCCGTCCTGCTCCACCCAGAGGCTACTCCACCTATGCTGCTGTGACCCGTCCTGCTCCACCCAGAGGCTACTCCACCTCTGCTGCTGTGACCAGAAGGGCTGTTGCTGATTATTACTATTGTTAGCTTTTTAGAATGATCAATTTTATTTTTTTATTTTTGCTGCTACTGGACACCTTAATTTCTCCCACGGGGATCAATAAAGTATCTATCTATTTCTCATACAATCTCCCACAAGTCAGAACCAGAACCACTCCTACACGTTGTTGATTTTTCTGTCTGGGGTCTTTTTGTGCCTTGTTCTGTTCGGAGGAGAATATGAACGTTGGATGATTTGAATAAAGAGATTTGCATGTGGGAAAAAAGCAATAAAAGCAAATAGCCCGACGTCCAGCAACCGCATCCATCCAGAGACGCCCAGAACTCCCCACGCTGCTCCCTGTTCACCACAACAGTCCGAAACAGCAACTTCATCACTGCACACGCTCCATCCTTCCCTCTCTCACTCATGTACAAGACCTGAGACACTGGCAGTTCAACAACCATAAACTTAATTATTTAGATAAATACATTAGTGCAGGGGTGTCCAAACTTTTCAGTAAGAGGGCCACTTTAGATCAACAGACTTAGCCCATACTGTAAAACTCTTTCTGAAGGATGGAGCTGAAGTTGGTTGAATGACAAATGGCCATCTCACCAGCCTGATGACACTTGAGCTCACTCTACAAGACAGAGGGCCACAAAGGATAACACATCGGGCCGCAATTGGCTCACGGGCCTTAGTTTGGTCAGAAAGAGACCAGAAAGAGACAAGAAAGAGACCAGAGAAGAGACCAGAAAGAGAAAGAGACCAGCGAAAGAGAAAGACCAGAAAGAGACAAGAGACCAGAGAGAGACAGGAAAGAGACAAGAATGAGACCAGAGAGAGACCAGAAAGAGAAAGAGACTAGGGCTGAAACAACTAATCGATTAATCGACGACTAATCGATTATTGAAATAGTCGACAACTATTTTAGTAATCGATTAATCGTTTTCTGGTTCACACGGACTCAAACAGAGCAAAAATGACATGAAAATGTAATATTTTTGATTAAAACCGACTTTTTAAAAAATAATTTCATGAATATCTGTCTGTCTCATCCAATCAGATAGCAGAGTTAGCACAAAGAGCCTGTTACAAACATTTACTTTAAGTTTACGCCATCAATACGTCCTCGATTGTTGCCACTTTAGCTTTTTGTGATGAAAAAATACATTTTTTCTACACAATTCACAGCCAAGCGATTACTCGATTAATCGTAAAAATAATCGATAGATTAATTGATTACAAAATAATCGTTCGTTGCAGCTCTAAAAGAGACCAGCGAAAGAGACCAGAGAGAGACCAGAGAGCGGACAGAGAGAGACCAGAGAGAGACCAGAGAGAGACCAGAGAGCGGACAGAGAGAGACCAGAAAGAGAAAGAGACCAGCGTAAGTGACCAGAGAGAGACCAGAGAGAGACCAGAGAGAGACCAGAGAGAGACCAGAGAGAGACCAGAAAGAGAAAGAGACCAGCGTAAGTGACCAGAGAGAGACCAGAGAGCGGACAGAGAGAGACCAAAAGGAGTCCAGAGTGAGACCAGAGAGAGAGAGAGAGACATGCAAGCAGCAGAAACAACAGAAACCCACGTTGTTAAAGTATTTAGTTCCATAATACTTGTACATTTCTTACTCCCAGAGCTCAGAGTACATGTAACTCCTGCAGCTCATCTGACCCAAAAGAATCGCTCCATTTCTTCTTCCCACATTCTTTGTTCTGACCTCACTTTTCTTGACAAGACGGAGCAAACATTTGGCCTGAGGAGGATCGGCCCGGTCAGGGACTATCAGCGTCAATACGAGAC